CCAATCTGATGGAGGCAGATCCTTACCTGATATTCACCATTCCCAGATGACTCCAGCTCCTGCAAAATTGAAACAAGGCAACCAGCCCACCCAGGTTGACATTGAACTTTCAGTGGTCTTCCTGCCTCAGTTTCCTGGGATGATGGGCATGTAATTGTCCCGTTCCTTATTTTATGTTCTTTTGCTTTTTGAGACACGATATGCTATGTACCTGAGGCTGACCTGCTAGTCACTATATATGTAGCTAAGGCTGGTCTCAAAGTTCACGGCAATCCTCCTGTCTCAGTCTCTAGACATCATCACCATGCCCAGCAAAAATTTCTATTTCTAAAAGTAATGGTAGCAACCATTTCATTGTATTGTTATACTATTTTATGATTATTTAAATTTAATTTAATTTGTTTTAAAAAGTGATTATAACAAAATGTCTGAAGCAAGACTTTGGCTCATGATTTTGGCTTGACTCCTTGGTCTTTTGAACACACAGTGAATGAGAGGTACAGAGGAGGGCAAGCAGTCACCTCATGATAGCCAGGAAGCAGGGAACAGGGGAGAGGGTGTCTCGGTATCACCTTCAAGGGCCCAGGCATGGGGACTTAGCTGCCTTCTACAGGCCTCACTTAGAAGGAAGGACCACGCCTGGAGTCGGTACAGGACACACCCAGACACCAAATTCTAAGCACAAAGGCCATTTGTTACCCCCGAGGGGCAAGTGGAAGGGGATAGGCAAAGGCAGCAGTAGCAGGAAGCAAGAAAGAGATAAAGGGAGGATGCAGTGGGTTTGTAGGGGAAGTCTGTGCTAGGCTGGCCTGGTAAAACCCAACCAGACATACTAACCAAACAATGAATTTGAATGGTTTGACCTTGCTGTTTTGTCTCAGGATTGAGTCAGTGGAGAAATAAGGGAACGGACCTTGGGGATTAGTTTAGGAATGTAATTTATGGCTTTTGGCAAGGAGGAGAGGAAAAGGGGAAAGGGCCAAGACCTGTTGGTGCCATGTTTGCCGTGTAGGTCTGCTAGAGCCCTTCATAATTTCTCAAAGGTTCCCAAGAGTACCACAGGCTGGGGACTAAGTCTTCAACAGACAGGTCTTTGGGGGCCATTTAGGAGGCAAAAAGTAACAGTTCCCATGCATCTTCATGACTCAGCAAATGAATAGGAACATCTACCATGAACAGGACATGGATTCTGGAGCTTTCCTGGTTTCTTTGCCAGGTCAAACTCTTGGATAAATGTGGAGCTTGCCAAGTATTTTAATCAACCAACCAAAGAGGCAAAACCACAAACAAGCTGAAATTGCCTGTGGGGAGCCACCCCCACATTCTCCATTACAAGATGGCACCAACACCCAGCCATTATGCCCTGCAAACAAGTAGAGTGCGCACGTGCCTGGTACTTTTCCATCCCTTACTCTCTGCCTCTCCCGTGGCGTCATATGGGCTGACGAGCAGGAGCCGGTCAGGAGATGACACGTCCAAGGCGGGGACTGCTGGGCTATATAAGGGTTGGGCTTTTCGCTCCCCGGGGTCTCTGCTCTGTAAGCTTATGCTCTCCCTCTCAAGACGCATTAAAGCTGTTCTGCAGAAGGATCCTAAGTCTGCCGCGTCGTTCTTTCTGGCGAGACGGTAGCGCGGGACAATTGCCCACGTGGGTAGTCCTTTTTCTTGAGTACCTATGATGCCTCAAAGTCTGGCCTTGTGTATTGTTTCAATCCAAAGGCACACAAATCAAGCAGCAGGCTTTGGGGGACACTTCAGGGAACAGAGGCAGGCAGGAAGTGCCACTTAGGAAGAGACTTCAGAACTCTGTTATTTTACTAGACGTTTACTTATCTTCACTTTGTGTTTGAGTGTTTTGCTTGCACACATTTATGTATATATCCTACGGTGTTACAATGCTTTGTTTGTTTTTTAAAGATGGCCAGTTATTTCAAATGAGAGCTCTCTGGGAACAGGCAGGCTTCGGGGGGCTCTCTGACTCCTTTGGGGCTAGCCTTGTAGCTTATTCACTAATCAGCAAGACCCTTCCTAGTCAGTACCTGAGCGTGGCTTCCCTGACTCATCCTTGACACACACCCCAGGAGTCATCTGAGCCTACGTGGACTTCCTGACTTTGATACAGGCCCCAGGAGCCGGTGGCACCTGCTTATTTTGGTTGAAAAGAATTGGGGGGAAGTCAAACTCCATTTTCTCTTAAGAACATATATTATGAGATTTTTTAAAAAGAAAAATCTGCTATGTCTTGAATCTTCGCCAGGTTTTTTTCCATCTCTTCTCCCCAAAGGCTTTTTCTAAAAGACTATGCGGGGGCTAGTGAGATGGCTCGTGCCTAAGAATGCTTGCTGCTCTCCCAGGGGACCTGAGATCAGCTCCCAGCATCCTTGTCAGGCAGCTCACAACTTCCTAACACTCCAGCTCCAGGGGATGAGATACCCTTTCTGATTTCTATGGGTGTCTGCTCATGTGCCACACAGATGCACAGATAAGCTCCATATAACACACACACACACACACACACACACACACACACACACACACACGCACACATGCACACATGCACTGCAGAAGCTTCTGGATAACAGGACTCAATATTAGAACAAGGAGCGATGTGGGTAAACCATGACAAGTTATTTTTCTTCCGTGTTGGGACCCAGGGTCCATCTACTTTGCTGGTTTGCAAAGTGTGAGGTAGCATTCTTACAGATACTCCAGACGCCAAGAAGTGGAAATGGGGGGAAATGCCTGACTCTTTCGTTTTTTGAGGCACAACCCTGGAGATGCAGATTCCATTTTTCACAACTTTCTAGCCAGAATCTGGTCACATCATTACAACTACTAGTTTGAAAAGGTCATAGCTAGATGACCATGTATGTGCCCAGCCAATGGTGAGACTGGATTACAGATGAGCAGCTGGCAATGTGGCTGGCTCGTTCTTGACAGTTAACACTTCTAAGCGATTCTTTCTTCATACGTCATTACATTGTGACCTTTTGCCTCAGCTGAGGGCCAGAACTGGTCCTCTGACCCAATCTGCAGCGTTCCAGCAGCTGTAGAGATGAGCTGTACAGCAGCCTGGCCCATGTGAATGCCCTTCCCGAAAGAGTGAAAGCAAGCATTTCGTATGCTGAGGGTAAACGAGGCACCGGAAACTACAAGGAGTGGGAGTGGAAGGTCAGGAGAGTTGGGTGGGAACGCTGACAGTAAGCACACAATGGCAGATACAGTTAGTGTGGCCTTGAGGAGGAAAATGTTGATACGAGTGAGTGGAATTCAGAATAATCTATGTCTATAAATACCCTCCTGCCCCTGGGGGCTCGGTAATAAGGTAAGTAACACTCCCCTGACACCCTTATTTCTGTGCATATCAACGGTAGCACAGTTGTTCTGTAGGTAGGAGAAACACCCATGAAAAAGATGTCCTGAATAAAGAACATCTGTCACCTCACACATAAGACATGCAAAAGGGACTAGTAAGATGGCTTAGCAGGTAAAGACACTTGCTGCTGAGCCTGATGGTGAGTTCAGTCCTTGGGACCCACGTAGAAGGCAAGAGCCGACCCCACAGTTTGAGTGTCCAGTTCACCGTGGTGGGATGTTCATGGAGCAGAGGCTCCAGGCAGCTGTGACATTGTAGCCACAATTGGAAAGAGAGAGGAATGCTTCTGCTCAGTTCCCTGTGTCCCCTTCCTTCAGTCTGAGAGCCCAGATCTCCCCACCTCAGTTAACCTAACCAGAATTTCCTTCACCGATGTGCCCAGAGGCTTGTATTGAGGTGACTTTAATCACAGAGACCCTCCATCGGAATCAAATCTAAGGTCACCTAGTCCCCACTTTCAGTTTCAAAGACACTATGAAACAATACACAGAAGCTTGCCCCTTGCAGCATGCATGACAGACAATTGTGTCCCAGCCCCATGGTAGCACTAAAATGTGTGTCAACACAGGGCCTGGGCAGTCTAAGTCTGAAATACCTGGGGGAAATTTTGTGTGTGTGTGTACACGCATGCAGATACATATGTGTAAATTACTCCCAGGACTTTAACCAAATTTAAGAATCTTAATTAATGTATCGTTCCCAGTCTATGAGTTTAAATGATGACAGTCAAGGAGCCTCCTCTCAGCTCATTAAAACCGTTACACGAATGGTTGATTTGAGAGCCAGGCAAGGATAGCTCTTCCAGCCTGTTCCAGGGGTCTCCATTTTGGGAGCCCCGGCTGCTACTGAGGCAGCAAAGGCTTCCTGCCTTGCTGGCGTTCCAGGCTTCACACCCTCTCTGGACCCTCCATTTACTTCTCTTGAACCTCTTGGGTTGGACTGTGTTCCCTGGAAGGACTTCTGCTATGAAGGTATGATAAGAACACCAGCTGGGGATACAGTGCTGGCTTGCTCATTACTGATGACAGTGACTACACTGACACTAGTGTTTTAGGGGCATAACGAGAACGTGACTAAGATTTTAAACTAATGCCTCAGAATGTCACCCTCCAGACTGACTCAGCTGTTGGCATCTTGATGCTTCCACACCAGTATGAGCAAACAGTAGCTAATGTTTCAAAAAGTTGAGGATGCTCTTCAGATTTCCACATTATTCTAGAGGATGCTGGGACATACCAACTTGGACCAAATGAAGTTCTGTGAATGCTCAGGGATGCAACTTGGATAGGGGAGAAGGCTCAGTCACTTAGGACTACATAGGTGCAATCTGTATGCTTCCATTTAATCTCATGGCACACAGGAAATGGTATTTCCATAGCACACCAAGGTAAGAGGAGCAGGGATCCTCGGACTAGCGGCAACCTCCCTGGAGCTCCTAGTGAGGGTGACTAGGGCATGTAAGGTAGAAGACTATAGCAACCCAGTGTTTCCTAAGTTCAGTACCTCAGGATCTGTCACCTCAGGTGAGCAGGCGTATTCCTCCAGACAGACTCTAGGAAGCATCTTGCTATCCTTTCAATCAACCACAACTACCCACAATCAGGAAAAAACAAAGACAAAGACAGCTGTTACTAGGTTCTTTATTCTCAGTCAAGGAGCCACACAGGGGGTGGAAAGACAACAAATTGAAAGGAGCTTTTGGGGAAGCTGAGCAGGTATGGGCAGCAAGGTGGGACTTGGACTTCACAAATGATCATGTAGAAGATGTACAAGTATCAATTGCCCTCCCCTGCCCAAAGCATATCCTCTGGGGGTAACACAAACGAAATAAATTAGTCATTTCCGATTGCCACATCCCCTAAAACCAGACTTCAAAACTGTAGACTGTTATGATTTGAAGATACTTGTTCAGTATGTAGGTTTTCATCAGAGGAAGGTAAGTACCAAGTCACAGATAGATATGACACAGAAGATTGAGCACGAGAAAACAGCTTTAATCTGCTAGCAAAAATAAGATTTATGCTGATGTTGATATCAAAACTAAAGGCATTCAGATGAATTCTGCCCACACACTGTGGCTGCTTTTCCTAAGATTGCATGAGCAACTGCTCTCATTGGTAGCTAAGCGGGTGTGAGGACAGTCTGTAATAGCCACGGTCCATCAGAGAGCCTGTCGTGCACAGTAAGCCTACATTAAAAAGCAAAGTAGTCCTTACGTCTATTTTGAAGGGCAGTGCTAGAAGGCTGAGCAAATGATTTATTGGCAGTAGTTAAAAATAGAGTATGAGGAAAACATCAGCCTACATGAAGTAAATGTTAAAAAACTCAGCTTGTGTAGTCATCCCTCAGGGAGCCCCCTCCCCCCAGATGCACTGGAAGACTGGGGAGCAGCTGAGGCATTCGTGCTACTTAGTAGGTAACTGTGTTGATATCCTAACGTGAACCTCTATCTATCTAGTAGTACAAGAACCTGCCTGAATCTGAGGTGTGCTACATGTTTAGCACCAGACTCCCCCTAGTGTCCAGAGTTGCACTGCATCTGTTTAGTTAGTACCAGGCACCCCCTAGTGTCTCAGATGCACTGCATGTTTAGTGAGTACCATACTCCCCCTAGTGTCTCACAGGTGCACTGCATCTGTTTAGTTAGTACTAGATTCATAACTAGTGTCTTGGAAGTGAACTGCCTCTGTTTAGTTAGTATCAGAAGCATCCTAGCATCAGGACATGAACTGCAGGAAGAAGTTGCACTAAGGCTTTTATTACCACTTTGGAGGAGGGGAAATGCCATCCTTCAGGTACCCAAGGACCTGAGGAGGAAACTGGGCCCCCTCCTTTTGTTATCCTGAAGATGCCCATTCCTTAACCACGATGTGTTGCAGTTTGGGGATCATGAGTACTGAAAAGAGGAACACATGAAGTGTAGTATGTGGTTAGCACAAGGTTCTGTAGCCTAGAGAACATCTGTAGTTTATCATAAACTTGAAACAGGAAAATTAGAATGAGAGAGGCTGAAATAGGAGTTCCAAATGGTGCAGCGGACTGGTATTATGTATTGAGAAACTCGGAGTCCAGAAACTTAACCTTTACTTTAGTTCTTCTCAGACAATACCATAGTTCTGTCCTTCATATAAAATATGCAAGTCCTACACAAGCAAACCTGGTGTGGGGATGTGTTAGACAGGATGGAGGAACTCAACAGCCCCTCCCTCCTGCAGGGAGTTTTATGATTCAAATACCAGGGTTGCACCTCCAGACCAACTGCATTTCAGAAAGCCCCCATCCAGACACTTGCAGTGACAGGGAATTCACACATGGTTCTGGAACATATTTTGTTCATTCCTGTCCCCGATTCAAATAAGGTGATGGCAGAGGTGACATCTGGGTCACCTGTTGATGGGATTCCAAAAAAAACTTGAAATCAACAGAAAATTGCACCATCAGGTAACCTAAGAATTTTCAAACAACTGGTGCCACAAGGTGGCACCCATCCTGGGGTATGTTTTTGGGAGTGTTGTTTTTTGTTGTTTTCCCTCTCCTTTGAGCCAGCCTCTGGAGCAGGCCTATTAAACAGTCAATATTACTAAAACTCCACATTTATCCTCACATTGTGTACACCAGGTTTGTTTCCCCACTGAGAGCCCTTAAATCTACAGCCGGCTTCCTCGTGTCTGTGAGCAGAATGTAGATAACACTTTAAAAGGGAAAAGAAGACAAGAAATGGGAAATAAAGAATCGAGCTGAGCCATCCAGCTGCTTAGAAATGGAAATGAGATTCCCACTGTGTTCATCTTGATGCCTCTCTATAAAACGGAATAAACGAACCAATATTTAATGAGTTGTTTAAAATGGCAGTCACTTGTGGACTCCAAAGACCACCGATTCCCCGTCAACACTCTGGTGTGAAAACTCGGCACTGTTCAGTCGGCTATTTGGGGGGACGCGGGTCAGCTCTGTGGGGCCGTCTCTCCTCCCATCTTTTATGTGGGTCCTGGGGATTGCACTAAGGTAGCCAGGCTTGGACAGTAAGTGCCTTTACCTGCTGAGCCGATCTCACTGGCCCCCTCAAATGCTTCCTATGGAAATCTCTTTACCCTATTATTACATAATGTTTCATAGAATCGTTACAAACATTCAAGTCAAAGGCTTCACAATCAGGCTTTGGTTTTAATGTGCTCTGGGCATAAGTCAGAACTGTTTTGACAACACAATTCAGCTGCTGCGTACATTCTACCATGGTAATGTGAAGTAAGACACTTACAAGAACAACAGCTTCCTTTTGGTAGCTCCTACTGGAGACAGAGGCAGACCTCAGAGTATTATAAACAAGAAGAGAGTAGAGGACGGAGGTGTAAAACCTTTGCGGTTTTCTCAGGATGACACAGACAGCAATGCTTGATGTTTGTCTATAAGGCAGATGGTCAAACTGTCTACACACGCTTGAGAGTACAGAGCTTAGTGAGAGGTAGAAAATACCAAAGCCACACGGAAGAGGGATGTGCCAGGCTATTTAAGACCACCAGTGACTTCACCCAAGCTTTAGAGGGTCATAGGCTGTTTACTGTATATCTTGTACTAAATGAGAGACATTCCATTCTTAAAAGGGGCCAAAGGGAAGACTTGCAAGCCAGGGGTGGGGCAGGACCCTGAAAGTAGTTTTTTAATTTGCTAAGGATTCGGCTCTCACTGAGGAAAAATGAAATGCCTTCTGCCTCCCTAAGATGCCATCAGGACAGTGAAATATTGGAGATTTCTCTGATTAATGCAACTTCTCTAAGCAATAGGGGGTTGCATATAACTATAGGGAGAGAAGGGTTCCCTTCCAGACTGGCAAAGTCCACCTTACATAAAAAATATGCATCCTACAAACCCCATACAGACGCCGTGACCGCTAAAATGAGAATGAAAATATTCTTGGTACTTCAGCACCGGCAGACTCGTTCTGTATAAGCAATTCAAGAGTTGTCTGAGGCAAAAAGATATCCCAGCTCCCAATTAACCCTGGATAGCTGGTTCATGGGTGAGAACCCTGGCTGGGTGTTCTTATTTCTCAATGCACCTGGGAGAGTGTTCTTCTTCTCCAGTGTGATTTTATAAGGCATACATTTGATTTCCCCCTTACCTTTGGAAAACTAGTGTTAAAGCTTCTTTTTTTTAAACCCACACATCAACATTCAATCTTCCATTTTTTATTAAATAGTTTATATATAAAAAGAATGACCGAGGTGTTCTACATTCGTATAAACAACCATGATAGTATTTTGAAATTGTAAAGAAACTGAAGAAAATATGTACTTCAGTACTTACAATGCTAAGCTAAGCACAAGTGGTCATTCTAGATATTATCTTCTAAAGGTACAGACACAGGTGTGTGCTGCTTCCGGAAGCAGACATGGGGAAGCACGCTAACATAGCTTTCTTCACCACAAGACGGGATGGTCCAGTTTGGAAAAGCCAAGTTCTTTCCTCAGTTCCAGGTAGGTCCCGTTGCTCACCCAAGAGTCATCGCTGGATTTCCTGTGAGAGGTGAGACAGTTTCCTATAGACTCTGCTATCACATCCTGTCTTCCCCCCCTTCCCCCCACTTCCCCACCACCATTCAGGGGCAGCCACTCTTCCTGTTGTTTGGGTATTGGGGTGGCAGACTGGAGGCCATTGTTCACGTCTGACACTGAGTTCTTAAACCTGGAGGCTGGGAAGGTGGTGCTCCTGAGAGAACCTCTCTCTCTCTCTCTCTCTCTCTCTCTCTCTCTCTCTCTCTCTCTCTCTCTCTGTCTCTTTCTTTCTGTCTGTCTCGTCTCTCTGTCTCTCTCTGTCTCTGTTCTCTCTCTCTCTCTCTGTCTCTTTCTTTCTGTCTGTCTCGTCTCTCTGTCTCTCTCTGTCTCTGTTCTCTCTCTCTCTCTCTCTCTCTCTCTGTGTGTGTGTGTGTGTATGTGTGTGTGTGTGTGTGTGTGTGTGTGTGTGTGTGTGTGTGTGTGTGTCTCCATCCTCTCTCTGTCTGCTCTACATCAAACAGGGCTCGGCTAATAGCCACCATACTGGTAATGACTAAATACTACACAATCAACTAGGTTGACCAAAGGAAATCTAAGTGAGCATAAAGCCAGACAGAGCAAAACAAAAAGGAACCGGAACTGGATACCACAACGGTGAGGAGCGAGAACTTTTGAGATGCCTGCTCTGTAGACGGAAATCCAGCAGGCATGAAAGGATACAGAACCCATCGTTTTGTTTTTTGTTTTTTGGTTTTTTTTTGGTTAGCCTCACCTCACAGCCTCACGTATGCTCCCGAGGCAGCGTTGTCAGCTTTATTCTGCCAGGGAAAGCTCATACACATGTCCACACACACTGCCTTCTCTCCTGTTCACAGCACTGGGTAGTGCTCTGTCTCTTGGACATTAGACACCACAGTCTATACTGGACATCATTTTCCATCCACACAGTAAGATGTGTGACGTTTGTCTTCATCGTTCCTTGGTAAGTCAGCAAACTACGACCCAAGGGCCCAACTCAGCCTCCAGCGCCTGTGTATTCTGGAACACTAGAGAGCAGGTCTAGGGCCTCATGAACGCTATCTGACTACTCCACCACCAAGCCACATGCCCAGCCTTGCATATCTTTGAAATGCTGTTTTATGAAAGCACAGCCCTACCCATTTCGTTAAATATTATCTATGGTTACTTTCATGATGAACCATCTGCTTTTTATAGGTGAGCTTGATGACCTCAGCAAGGGGGACTTCTCATTCCTCTTTAAACAGTTGAGTGATATTCCATTGTGGGGATGGATGACGTTCATCTTAGTATTGTCCTACATTAGGAATAATGCATATGTTCTGGATGCTATTTTTTTCTTTTTAGAGGCAGGGTTTTGATTTTGTTGTCATGCTTAACTTGCCTAGGCTGGCCTTGAACTTGGAATTCTCCTGTCTCAGTCTCCGAAGTGTTGGGATTACAGATCTGTGGCACCAGGACTGGCTGGCTCTCTCAGTGTTTCTAAATATATATATTTCCTTGCTGCTAGGATTAGTCCCTACAGTCTTCTGGAAACTGCTCCTGTTGCCCAGACTGATAAACAAAACCGGACAGACAGACCTACTGCTGCAATCCAGGCACACCTGGCCCTGAGCCTTGGGGACCTGCAGAGTGCCCATCCCTGCACGTATGGCACGCAGCCCTTGGCTCTGTACAAAGGGACCTCTGTACAAAGGTCCCTTTAAGAAACAAGCTCCACCTACTACCATTCACTGAGGAGGAACTCTGTCTCTCTCTCTCCCTCCCTCTCCTCTTTCCCCTCCCCCACTCCCTTCCCTTCCCCACTAAAACTTCCTTCTCAGGTAAGTTCTGTCTGATAGTATATTTGTCTCTCACTTGCTAATGGGACCCTTCCAAGCCCCCTGCCTCTTGCCATATTCATAGCACCTACCCCAAACATCAGTCAACCACTGGCTGCAGGTCAGGAGTAGACTTACCAGGCGTGTGCATTCTCTACATATCCCCAAACCACACAGAACATTGGCCAGGCTGTCAAGAAAGGCATGGCCCCATCTGGAAGATTCTACCAGGTCCTTCTTCAACCCCCTCTACTTTATGGGCCTCTGTTTCTTCTCAGTTGAAGTAAGGGAGAGGGTAAAAGGCTATAATTGCCCACAGCACTTTTAGAATTTTAAGCGTATTGTAAACAAGACTCTCTCAACAAATCATCTATCTGTCTGTCTAGCAATAGACACGGTCACACTATAGCCGGGGCTAGCCTCACACTCTTACCAGTCTTCCTGCCTCAGACTCCCTCCTGCTGGGATTGCAAGTATGACTACAAGCCACCCAGCTCCAGACAGTTATTTTAAAAGTAACGATCAATCAGACCATCTTTCAAGCACAAGCACAAACGTACTGGAACTGCTGGTTCTAGGCATGGGTGCTTTGAATCCCACAGTAGTGTGGTCACCAACTAGCCTGCCATCATGTAAAATCCAACCATGCCAGCAACCAGCCTCAGCCACAGGTGTAGCAAGACGGCCGGGTGTTAGGATCAGCTCTGGCAATGTCCCTGTTGGCTGAAACTCTCAGTGGAGGCACTGCTGAGCCAAGGGGAAGAGGCAAAGGGAGGTCATGAGGAAGGCACCCGTCCTGTCTGAGAGCAGTGACAGCCATGCAGATGCTGTTTGCCTGCTGTTGACCAGAAAAGCTGGCAGAACCTCACGGCCACCACCCACTGCTCGCACACAAACCTGAAAAACCGGGGCTGGTGCTCCAAGTTGTTTTCCTCTAAGACCCGCCGCCTCTCCCTCTGCAGCTGCTCAATCCTCTGCTTCTGTACCTCAGCTTCCTCTATGTCCCCTTCTTCTAGAAGCCTGGGCATTGAGGGGAAAGAGGAAAGGAATATTCACTGGAATAATAACAACCTACCACTCACTTCTATGCCCATGGCTGGATATTCAAAGTCCCCTGCACCCAGTCCCTTCTTCAGCCCGTGACACAGTATTCCGGGCCAGAAGAAGATAACCTTCTGTGAACAGGCGATACTTGTAGGGTTCGAAAACTCTATCTTCTGCTTCCCTCACTCTCTCATGGCAAGCAATCTCATGCTGTTTGTTCCTTGGCTACATATTTTCCAAATATAAACACATGTTTTTATTCCATCCTCCACTTTAAGAGCATAAATGGTGGCAAAACTGTGTTGCTTTTCTTTATAGCACATCTTAGAGAACTTTTCACAGAAGCGCCTAGACACCTTCATTTTTAATAGCTGCATAGTCTTCTGTTTTGTGGGTGCACCCTATTTCAAATGTGCTCTACATGTAGACCTTGGGTTGTTCCTACTATTTCTAGGGTTACATTTAATGTTGCAGTGAGTGACTGGACAACCACCATTTCCACATAGGAAAGTGTATCTGTACAAGAAACTTCTAGACTTAGGAGTGCTGGAACACAGGGTAAGTCTGCCATTGATGCACTTTAAAACTACACTTTATAAGGAATTGAAGCAATTCATATTTCCTTTATATTTACATTATAGCGTGTTGTCACCAACCACAGACTGGTTTTTATTTTTTTAATTTTTGCCCATCTAAGGTAAGAATGCTATTTTTACCTGAGCGAAATATTATGAACGAAACTGAATTTTTCTCCATATTTAAGGAGCATCTGGGCTTCTTACCCACGAACTGTTCATTCCCCAGGTCCATTCTCCCCCCTCCCCAGTGACACTTTACTGATATCTAGAGCAAATCCATACTGTAAGATCGCAGATACAGGTTTATGTTAATCATTTATCTCTGAATTTGCTTCTGCACTTGTATTTAAGGTTAAAAAAAAAGTTAATCGCACATAGATATCTTTCCTTTCATGTGGTCTTTAGATTTTGAGTCTCAATCACATAAGGCTCGGGGAGATTGTTCTTTCTGCCTTACAGAGCAGGAAACTGGGGCTGGGAAAGAGGGAAAGCCTTGCCACAGACCACGCAACACAGTAATAGCAAGCCCAGAATCAGACGTTAGATACCAATGCACTAAAACCAATGCACCTTGAGGGGTCAGGAGAGCTGTGCAAGAGCTTTCATTGTTTCAAGCAAACAGTAAATCCCTTGTTACTACACGCAGTAAAACCCTTCAAAGCAGCCCTTCCCTCCTTTCTGGTGTTTCCATAGAAATGGGCCAGCAGATGTGTGGGGCCGCACCACACAAGGATGTAAGTGCAGGCTCTGGTCCTCACAGTGTCCCTGTGACCTGATGACAGTGCCCACCTCAGGCCCCAGGTGGTCAGGCAGTTGTGAGTACCACCTTTTGTAGATTGTTTTGAATGTCTCTGGAGAGAAAGAACTTTGGAAAAGTCCTTACCTTTGATCTGGTCTAAACCGAGTGTCGGTGGGTGGTAATAGAGACCTTGACAGTGGATCCATTTCATTTAACTCCAGTGCGAACTGTGTGAAGCCGTAATACTGCTCATAGCCTTTCGGCATGGGATCTGAAAGAGAAACAAACCACCCGCTCTCATTTGTAATTCATTTATGCTAGTTTAATTCCTTCACCTTTTTTCATCCCAGACCAGTTATGTTTTATCTCTAAACTGTCCCATTTCTATTAAAATATTCGGACTAACAAGTAGCTACTGAGCATTTCTCAGTAGATTTTCGTGTCTGAGTTTTCTATCGCAGGGGTATGGTTTCTTTGCCTTGGTCCTTTAGTGAATTTATTCAGCGCTGTGTAGCATCTGTAAAGTCTGAGCTATCACCGAATTTGTTATTCAAATATACACACCAGGGGCCCAGTGAGATGCCACTCAAGGCTGATGAGCTGAGTTCAGAACCTACATGGTAGAAAGGAATGACTCCCCAAAGTAGTCCCCTGGCTTCCACATTTCTGCTGTGACATGCAAGTCCCTGCACTCATAACATATCTCACACACACACATACAACACACTCACATACACACTCACACAGACACACACTCACACTGACACACACACTCACAGAGACAGACACACACACACTCACACACACTCACTCACACAGACACAGACACACACTCACACAGACACACACTCACACAGACACACACACTCACTCACACACACTCACACAGACACATTCAGAGACAGACACACACTCACTCACACAGACACACACACTCACTCACACACACTCACTCACATAGACACACATACACACACTCACAAACACACACATAAAATCGCACACACACATAAACTCACACACACACTCACACACATACACTCATTCACACACACTCACACACATACACTCATTCACACACTCACACACACTCACACACATACACACATTCACACACATACATTCACACACATATACTCATTCACACACATACATTCACACACATACACACATTCACACACATACACACACACTCACACACACACATTCACACACATACACTCACACACACACACTCACACTAAAGTTTTAAAAATCAGATCAAATAAATAAACCCATGAGGCCTTTTCTTGGTGAGCCAGCTCCCGCTGCAGAAGACCCGTGTTCCTCAGAGATGCCGAACTCCCAGTTGCAACAGTCTTGAACTCCCCAAGGGTCGTCAGTACATGCTACTCTTTTTTCCCTCCTCGCTTTCTTTTTATTGTTTTATGGAGACAGGGTTTCTCTGCGTAGCTTTGGAGGCTGTCCTGGAACTCGCTCTGTAGACCAGGCTGGCCTGGAACTCACAGAGATCCGCCTGCCTCTGCCTCCCGAGTGATCGACTCATCTTTCTTTTCAACAGTCTCAGCCCCTAAAGTCTCACGTCCCACGGGTAGAACAGTAGGTTCTTCTCTGCCCTAACTTTGGTCTCAGCTGAAAATCAGGTATAGACCAGGGAGATCCAACCCAGTCTAGGGAAATTCCCAGACAGCCATAATACTTTCTGGTCACATATCCACATTTAAATGTCCTCCGAGAATTATTTCTTGCATTTCACTGGCATTCCAACAGGGTCTGCCACAGTCCCATGTGTAACAGGCCACCCTTGGATTGCTTGAGGTCCTGAGAACCCAGAACGGAACCTAGCAGCCAAACTGAGGTGCTACTGTAAACATGCAAGACCCCATAGATGGGCCCCTACCGCTAGCCTGCTAACAAGCAGGTGGCAGCAGCTAGAGGCACACAGCAGCACTGGCCGCTCCCAGCTCCCCTGCCCTGATGCAGACGCGCATGTGCTCCATGCCTGGGGGCTGGTGGACACTCACTCGCTCTCCAGACACACGTCGAGGAGGAGGCACCGCCACAGTAGATGCTCTCGTGCCATTTTCCAAACAGCCGGTGCACAGCCTTCCCACTGCGGTCGAACACCGTGCCTTCGATCTCATGAGCATTAGTGCTCCAGTATTTCGCCTAGAATGCAGACAAGAATGGTCTGGGTAAGACTCTGGAATTCACTTATAACAGGTTTTGAGGGGGTAAAAAAAAAAAAAAAGGAAGCAAGAGAAAGAATTAAGAGGAAGGCAGGAGGATCAGAAATTCAAGGTCATCCTCAGCTGTGAGTCACATCTGAGGTTAGCCTGGACTACATGATGTTATGTCTCCGGAAATTAAAAAAAAAGCCCTAAGTGTTATAGGTTATTTATTTAATTGAAAAATACAAATTATATATATTGATCATGTACAAAATGATATTTTGAAATCTGTTAGCAATGGCTAACTCAAGCTAATAAGCATGCTTTACCTCACAAGTCTTAGGTGAGGGGACTTTAAAACTGTGGCTGGCAATGTCTATAGATACATTCTTAGTGGCTCTCTTGAGTTTTTGGAAAGACTGTATCCTTTGATCAGAAATTTCCCCCAGCCCCACCCCTACCTCTGCTAACCTCCACCCTCCTTTCTGCTTCTAGGAGCCAACGGCTTCAGTCCCGCTTACAGGTGAGACGATGTTACAGTTTATGAGCTTGGCTTATTTCACTGTGCACAGTATCTGCTACATCCTCCCACGTATATATTGCAAATGACAGGGCTCCATTCTTCCCGTGGCTACGCAGGGTTCCGCCCTGCTTCTGCACCATATCTGTGTGTCGACAGCCCTGAGGCTGATCCCTCCTTTGCTCCCGTGAAGAACACGGGAGTGCAGGTGGCTGTTTGAGTCTTGATTTCATGACCTGAGCCTGTCTGTCTACTCAGGAGTAGGACTGCAGGGCCCCAGAGGAGATCAGTGTTCTGAGGGACTTCATTCTCTCTAATCGCTGCACAATACGGGTCCCGTCAGCAGTCTTCATTCTCAGATCTACCTTTCATCTTTTTGGCGCCAGCTATTTTTTTTTTTTTCTAAGACAGGGTTTCTCTGTGTATCCCTGATGTCCTGAAACTCAGACCAGGTGGGCCTTGTACTCAGAGATCAGGCTGCCTCTACTTCCCCAGTGCAGGGATTAAAGGATTATGCCACCATCGTTCCTCCGTGTGAGCTATTCTAAGAGGCAGTGAGGGGACCTGACAGCGTTTTTATTTTGCATTTTCTGGATGATTGATTAGTGATGCTCATCCCTCTATCTTTCTGCACTTTTTGAGATGTCTGTTTTAGATGTCTTTGGTCCCCTCTTCTTGGAGGCAGGCTCTCTGCTACTGAGCTGTATTTCTAGCTCTATCTGCCTTTATTGAAAACACCGGTGTTTGAGTCTGTGTCCTTGAGCATGCTGGGCACACACGTAGAAATCGGAAGACAACTTCCAGGAGTCAGTCACTCCTCCCACCAGAAGGGCTCTGGAGACCACATTCACGCCCTGAGACTTGCAGCAAGAGCCTTCAACCTCACGCCCGGCTCACTGCACTTTATCCAGCATCTATTGGTTCATCTGTGTATGGATGCATTTTACTTTTGATATGGGATCTGCCATACAGCTCTTACAGTGATCCTCCTGCTTTGGTGGCCTGCGTTCATGTGTTGGTCTTACCGGGGTGCACTGTCACACCTAGCTCCCCAGTTACCCACTACTTTGTTCCAACTGAGTTGAGTTCCTTTATATGTTTTGCATATTAACACCTCATCAGATTGTAAATATTTCTTCTTTTGCATGTGGATACCCAGTGGTCCCCACAGCATTACTGAAGAAACTGCCTTTTCTCACCACATGTTACTTGGGATCAATTGAAATCAATTAAGAGTAAACATGTGGATTTATTTCCAAGCTTTCTAGCTGGCCCCCATAGCCTGCCCAGGTTCTGGATTTAAAAAATATATTAAGGTATTTAGTAAAACTTCAGTCAGTCTCCTATTTGCAGCTTGTAACCCAATAGCGAACATGTGCGTAGGTTATATGTACTTCTTCTAGTTTTGCTTTATGTAATGGAGGGATGCAAAACTGAGTTCTTAGGCTTTTGTCAATACCTAGTGCATTAGCTAGTATTAATTGGTTAGTGTATTAGCAGCTTCCCCAGTCATGTCATTGAGATTCTAAATTCTGAGAGCTCTCGATGATACGATTTTCACCTGAAGAAAATAGTCATTTGCACACTAGTTAATGAGGTTGCTTAAAAATGCCGTTTCTGCTATTTTCCCCTTCTAGACCTGTTCCAGCTGCAGTGACCTTGTACAAACCACTTTCTCAGCACGTATCAATAGTGGGCTGTGGGGCAGCCTTGACTGTTGACTTAGTGTGGCTCAACACTGCTCTGCCCAATTCCGGAGCATAGCTCAACTCAGTCTAGTTTATGCAGTACCGCTCTCCAGCCAGCAGAGGGAGTGCCAACTCCCTAGAGGGGATGCTTTGGAAATCTCCCAGTACCTGGCTACCCTTAAAAACTGTCATGAACAGAAGGCATTTCTCCATAAATCAAAAGCCCTAGCGCTATTTCCAGCTGAAAATGGATCCATACTTGGAAATTTTAGTGCCATTTACAGGCCATTTTCTGCTGGTTCAATTTCTGTCCTTCAAAGCTTTGGTAAGATGCAAAGGGAAGAAATTGAGTTCTCCAGCCATGTAAAAGGGGCAGGGGAAGAAAGGATCCCAGACCCTTAAGTTTATTGGGAAGCAGGGGCCAGATTTTTGCCATTTACGACATTCATCAACAAAACAAATGTTAATGACTGGACGGGAAACCGCAGAGGAGACAGCCATGCCCCACGGGTACCTGGCAACTGCTCCCAGATTCTTTCGACACCCAATGCTCATCTCAAATAACTACACCATCTCAAATAACTACATGCATATTTCCTGCAAAACCGGGTGATGGTAGACACCAGTAATCTCAGTACTCTGAGGGCTGATGCAGGAGGATGGCTCTGAGTTTGAGGCCAGCCTGGACTCAAACAAATTAACTCATTCTTTCTCTGGTCCTGAGTAGATGAGAACAGGGAAGATGGTAGACAGGGAGTGAACACATTCCTTTGAGGAGATGTGGACAGCTGGTCTACCTGGATCAGGGAACACATTCTTGCTCCTGCTGCCTGGTCAACCTCACAAACATCCCTGTGGGTTACAGGGAGGTACAAAGACGATTTATGAGTTTGTGCACAGATGGGGATTTTGATTTTAGTTAAAGGCCAACATTCTTTGGCAAGGGTTATGCCTTAAAGCCACTTTAAGTACATGAGACAATTCTAGGGAGAAAAAGGGGTAGGACTCAAATGAAGGAAGTTGGAGGGAGACCTGGCTGACATTTCCATTTATCTCTGAATGTTCTGAGCCTTGGCTGTTGGAATGGAGGGCCAGTCAGGGCTGTAGGATGAACAGGACCAACCAGGCTTTGATCTTGTGGAGTTGGGGTTGGCAAGGAGACTAAGAGAGACAGACAGGTAAAGAAATAACCAGGAAGCTAACTTCAGTGGTAGCAAAAGCCTTGGAGAAAATTTGATGGTGAAATCAAGTGGAAGACAGTGAGGTGGTGACATCAGGGTCTGGGGAAAGGAGGCCAGCGGGGAGGAAGAGAGGAAGGAAGGGCCAGTGTGCTCAGTGGCTGAGGAGGCTGACAGGAGCGAGAGGGAAGCACAGGAGCTAGGGCTGGGGAGGAATGAGGGTGTGTGTGTGCATGCATGTATGTGTGCGTGCAAGTGGGTGTGCATGCATGTGTGTGTATGTGCACTGAGGGTGCAGGTGCATTCCAAGGGGTGAGAGTTGGTGGTGCTGATGCTGCAGAGCCCTGTGGGCCACTGAGAGGACGCAGACCTCCACTTGAGAGGATGGAATCGAGTGGAAAGGTTTGTTAAGGGAATGGCTGGCCACGCCCTTCCTCACGGCAAGCACACAAGCAGAGCTGTGCCCTCCCCAAGTCCTTTCCTCCATGACAGAGTCTCATGCTATAGTCCAGATTGTTGTGGGACTCACAATTCACAAACCTCAACCTCTTGAGTGTTGCAATTACAGGAGCATGCCACCAGTCCTGGCTTCATGTCCAACACTCTCAAATGCATGGCTTAAAAATATGAAGTACATTCCCAATGCGGCACAACTGTCACCACCTTCTATTTCTAGAACTTTGTCATTTTCCTAAACAGAAGCTTCAAACCCATGACACACAACTCTCTATCCTTCCCTGCACCCAGGCCCCGATGCCCCTGCTCTGTTTTCTTTCTCTATGAACTTGGCTCTTCTGGTGACCCGTGTAATTGGGATAATATAGACTGCATCTTTTCATGTCTGGTTTGTCCACTTAGCATAATGTCTTCACGTATCTTTGTGTCTGATGACATCTTGTAAAGGAATCCCCTAGGCTCTGCACTGAGGGCAGATGGTAGGGGCGGCAGGCAGGGTCAATACCCCAGTGAAGTGACAGAGTGGGAGACAGCCTGTGCTCTGGGAACCTGGCCCTGCCTCAGCCCTCCAGCGTCGGGTCCTGGCTCCCTCAAGGTACCTTTATGAAGTTCACTTTGCAGTGGCAGGAATCGTCAGTCAGGTTCTTGATGACGATTTCACCATAGTGCTCGATCCACCGCTGTCCGCTTAAGATGTTGTGGATGCAGGAGGTCACCTTGTTCCACTCAAAGTGATCCCCAAAACTGAAAGAGATGGGGGAGTCAGAGATGGCTCCCAGAAGAGGCAGCCACAGATGCAGCAGGCCGTCCCGCTTTATACAGCGAGGTAGGGGGAGCGGCCACTCACCCTTCAGTTGCAGACCCTGTATCAAATAAAGCATCTGAGTGGCGTCTGAGCAGAGGCTCCTGAGCCAGCAAACTGCCCAACTATGGAAGAGAGACTGGTGGAAGGATGCGCTGGCTTGGAGGCCAGGCTCCCATGCTTTAATAGTCACATGTGACTTCTTACATCTTTTGCATGAGAGAGGCCTCAGGCGCTGCTTAGCAGCAGCTGTGAGGAAACAGTAAGCGATGGTCTAAGTGCTTCGTGCACAGTATGTGTCTCAGAGGCAGGTGAGGGTACCAGTGACAAGAAAGGTGTGTCAGCCTGACCAACAGTCACGGGAGAAAGGGACACAGTGGCATGGGATGCCAGCCTGGCCCAGAGACCTGGAGTCACCACCACCTTGCTTTAAAAGCTCCAGTTCGTGATGCTGGCATAACCAAAGCCATGTCTGTCTCTGAGGGAATTTTGTCAGTGAGGCAGGACCACCATGATAAAGGAAAAATAACCCTTTATCTTGGAGGAAAGGAGTAACGAATTTTAACATCTCCTGCTCAGAGGGGGCATTTCCAAACAGTGAGAGAAAATACTAGACACTAAATCTGCTAGGAAGAGGTTACGTGAATCCACCTACAGACGCTGGGGGTATGGTGGAAGCCTGTATAGCCCCCATCATGGACGGTTTGCCTTAGAACTGACATTCCTAACAAAGGGGAACTTACGCAGGCAGAGTCACGTGGGTTGTGCCGATTGGGACAATTTCCATGGATTTGCCCCAGAATTTATTTTTCCATCTCACATCTGAAACAAAATATCAAATATCACATATTCAGCAAGAGAGCTAGGTAGAGCAGAGGTCTCAGGCTCATTGATTAGGGGCTGGGGACATAACTCAGTTGGTAGCTGCATGCCTAGCATGTATAAGGCTCTAAGTTTCATTCACACTGCATAAACCAGGTGTGGTGAGGTATGCCTGTAAGCCCAGCACTTTGGGAAGTAAAGCCTGGAGGAAAAGAAGTTCCAGGTCATGTTAGACTACATAGCAAATTCGAGGTTAGTCCTGGTTACACAAGCCTCTGTCTCCAACAAACAAAACACATACACACACATACTCTCTCTCTCTCTACACACACACACACACACACACTAAAATGATGTGTGCCCAACTTCTTGAAAATCCGGGATACTCAGCTTCTCTTATTGTACACCGATATTTTGAATAAACGAAAACTTAACAAAACTCATGTAGGAGAAATATGGACCATTGTAGTGATATACTGTTTATGATCTAGTAAAGCTTGCCTGAAGGGCAAAGGGCAAAGCTAGTCACAGTCATAGAGGTGGTGGTACACACCTTTAATCCCAGCACTAGAGAGTTATATAAGTCCCATAGTGGGCATTGGATATTCAGTATTCTGGCAATTAGTCTCCAGCCACGTTGAGATCAGGATTGCCCCAGCCCTGATAGAGGTAAGAGCTCTCTGGTAGCTTGGCCGTTTTGCTGCTCTGATCTTCAGCTTGAACCCCAATATCTGTCTCTGGGTTTTTATTATTTGTGTTACAGAGCATTATTTATAGAACAACTTGCCATCTCCCCCTTCTCCAAATGTAGGTTTAGGAACATCAATATCAAAACAGCCCTGAAAATGTAAAGAAGGGCCAAGGCTCAGATGAGCCTGCCTTCCCCAAACCCAAGGTTACGATCTTGAGAGCAGCAAAATAAACGAAGCCAGGCAAAAGCAAAGCAAGAAGGCAGCAAGCACAGAGCACAGATGAAAACCTCCAAACACCATTAACAACAACAACAAGGGGCCAGCGAGACGGTTCGGCAGGACAAGGCGCTTGTCACCCAGCCTGACGACACGAGTCCCATCCTTCAGAGCCCCATGGCAGGAGAAAGCCCAGTCCTGATAGTTATCATCTGATACACACACACACACACACACACACACACACACACACACACACACACACACACACACACTCACATACTCACACACATACACACACTCACACTCACATACTCACACACATATACACACACTCACACATATACACACTCACACACACATACTCACACACATACATATTCACACATACACACTCACATACTCACACACACACTCACACACTAAATGAAATGAAAGCGCAGTGGGTTAAAAATGTTCATTAAAAACAAAGATAAAGAGAAATCAGAGGTGTCAAATGTAATTTTGGAAACAAAATTTAAATTTTTAAAAATCAAGAAACCCATTTGCGGTCTACACTCTGCTGAAAAGCTGGGGATGCTGTAACTCCTGAAGTTAAGTGAGGCATTTCAAGAAGCCATGGAGAAGGATGGAGGAGAAGCCCAAGAACCGGGGACTCACGTGAAGATGGAGGAAGTTTCTTACGAGGAAAAAAAAAAGACCTGATCTCTTGACTTCTTAACAAACACTCTGTCAATGAGTATGTGTCAACTGCTATTCAGGTGGGCCAACTCTCCATGAAGGGCAGGTCTGGAGACCGCTATTGACCTTGGCAAGCACCCAGCAGTCCCTGGAGAAGATGAACTCTTCAGTGCCATGGAAGCAGAGGTCAGACGCATCAGCACATACCTTGCCAGAAAACGAAGTTTCCAGACTCAGCGTGGCAGGCGGAGATAGGTGGGTGGTGGCTGACCTGATGGGGACAAATGACAAAAACCATAATTTGAGGATATACATGCACACGCTCATGCACCATGGCTCACATGTGCAAGTGTGAGAACCATTTGTGGGAGCCAATTCTCAGCTTCCACTCTGTGGGCTCTAGGGATGGAGCTCCGGTCCTAAGTCTCGGCAGCCAGCACCCTTACCAGCCGGGCCATCCCACTGGCCCTGAAGATAATTCTTCAGAATTACGTGTGTAAAGCAGAGCTAGCCATAGCCACTGAAGAAATCTCACCAGGTGCTAAGGGGGAAATGTGTTGGGTGTGTAGAGACGGCTCAGTTCATGAAGCTGTTGCTGTGTAAGTATGGGGACCTGAATGTTGACCCAGAACCCACGTGGTGGTGGGGGGGGGGGGAGCAAGCAAGCTGGGTGTGCCGGATGCCACTTGTAATCTCAGCACTACAGCAGAGACAAACGGGTCCTTGGGACTCCCTGGCCAGCCAGTCTACTTGATGAGTACCAGGCCAGTGGTTCCCATACATGCACCTGCCAACACATGAGCGCGCGCGCACACACATACACATACACACACACACACACACACACACCTGCAACACATGCACACATGCTCACAAACACAATGCTCTTAAAGAAAAAAAAGATGTTACTCAATCAATATATAAAAGCAATCTTGAATGAATAAGTAATTACATCCTAGAAGGGCTGATCCTCAAAAGAAACAGAGATTGGCACTGGGGGGAAGGGGGCGCCATTGTTTGTTTTATCCATCAGTCAAGAAGCTCAATACAAGATGGAGGATGTGTTCCATTGTTCCTTTATTCCAGTAGCACTCCGGGCCCTGAGCTGCTCTCACAGATCAGTACTGGGGAGTGGGAGGGCGGGGGACAGACGGGGACAGCCATGCTGGCAGTGTGCTTCCCAGAAACTTCTCTGATTTCAAGGGCTGCTAGCAGAGGTTATCTTCTATTTGGAGTGTCTACTTAAGGCCTTTCCTATGAACAGGATGCAGGCTGAAACCAGATAGGTCAAGTTTCCTAAACCACAGCATTCAGAGAATCCACAGAGCAAAACTGAGTACTGGTGTGCCTCAGTGGTTATAGACTTCAGGAGAGAAGTGTTAAGTAGCTGGGCTGTTCTCAGATATCACATTAACCAGGCAGTACTTCTATCTGAAACGAGCAGGTGTGAAAGGAGATGTGTGCGCGCGCGCGCGCGCGAGCGCGTGTGTGTGTGTGTGTGTGTGTGTGTGAAGTCCACAGACACACACTCTGGCTCACTCTGCTCACCCATGCTGAGGATCTGCTTTGTAAACCATCCCTGTATGTAGAGAGCTGCAGGGCTGAAGGATCCCCGGGCATCCTCCCACAGCCTTAACTGACAGGAAAGCAGAGGAAGACAGAAATAGCATCCACACCTTCGCATTACTCAATGAACTGAAGTCCCAGCTATGGGACGTAGGAGGCGGAGCCCTGGGGTTGCTTGCTGTCCCCTAGCTCCCCACGTACTGTCTGATGCCACAAGGTCCCTGCTCTTCTCTGCAGTTTTGGAGAGGAATTTTCACTCTCTTAGGGCCCCAGCTCCTATAATCAAAGCAACCGTCTGCTTAGTTTTAAAAGTCCAACTACTTGGTAATACTTTGTATCACAAAGCTCTCTATCATCTTCCTTCCTCCCATGAGAGCTCTCAGAGAAGTCTAGCTGACTTTTAAACCATGGGATGGCATACAGTTAAATCTGAGTGAGGCTGTCCTCCTCCAACCACAGCTCCCTACCTACCTGACACGTCCCACTGGAGCGAGTGGGCAAGGAGCCATGGGATGTGGGAGGCAGCAGAACTTAGTACATTTATAGGGATCACCAAATGTAAATATCAAAGCAAATTTCTGTATGCAAACGGCATGTGCCTGCTCTATAAATATTTGAAATCCTATAAAATGGACACACATTACTGCCCATAGGAACTAGAGGGTCCTTGTGATATTAGGAAGTATATACATATTTTATAAGAATGCCGGTGTAATCTTTTAAATCACTATAGCAGATTAACAGTGTTCAGTCAGCTGCCTTTAAATGGATCCAAAAGATGGTTTTGGATTCTTAATTTCCTTTACATTTATTTGTTTATTGTGTGTTAGCGTGTAGAGGTCAGAAGTCTACTTACATGAGTCAATGTGTTCCTGTGCGTAAGGATTCAGGCATTATGCTGGCCTGCCCCTGTCACCTGGCAGAATGCACTCAGGCAGTACCCTGGTCAGCCCAGGGTTCTATGGCTGCGATATCACTATGTAGTCTGCTGGCAGGTGATAAGGACTCCCTCTTCTGTCCTCTCTCTTGGGAGGCAACTTTTTCTGTCTCCCTCTGTCTCTGTTTCTTTACCTCTTTTCTCTTTCCTTCCCTTATTTTCCTACCTCCCCCTTAATAAAACTTTCAATATGAGTCACGTCTAGCGGTCTCTGTTTCCCCATCGGCCTGCGGTCCATCACGGGTCCTGCCACCCACGGTCCCAGCCCACACCGCTGTATTCCTAACACTGTGGGTCACAGGAATTGAACTCTGTCATCAGGCTTGGAGTCAGGCACTTTTACACCAAGTCATTTCTTGCTGGTCTGGAGATAGGGTATTTTAATTGTTTCATGAAGACACAGTAACTTAAGCTTCTTTTGTAAGTTATGAAATAGGGTCTTTCAGCACAGAACCTGCTGCCCAGTGCTTCCCAACTGATGCTCAGCATCTCATCACCAAGCCAGTGTTCTCTGTGCACCTAGCAGAGGCTGCTTCCAACGTCGGCTCCCGTGCCTCCTAAGACAGCAGCATATCGTTAAATTGCCTTTTCATGACCACTTAAAAACAAATCTTTTGAATCTGACCTTCCTAGCCTCTCTGTGTTGCATTTATTTCTTTGTAAAATGAAATCAAAGAAACTGTTTTGACTTCAAAACGGTGATGCTAACATCTGCTCTCAATATCTTCAGAGGAGAAACACTAGAAGATAACAGGGAATCTGCAAATCTGGCTCTAGGGCTGATAATTTTGAATGCCCGCAGAAAGGGCTTATTCACAGTTGATACTTAATCTTTGGCACTGGCAGCCCTTCATCTGTATGAAGAGGAGGTAGCACCCACTGCTGCACCTTTGCTAATTGTTTAGTCTTGAAGCTTTTTTTGTTTTTAAAACTGGCTCAATGGGTAGCTCAGGCTAGTCAAGCCTGTGATCCTCCCGACGTAGCATTCTGAGTGCTGAGATAGCCTGGTCAGTCTCTAGCTGTTACTACATCTCAAGCCAGGAAAAAGAAAGAGTGCATGCAAAGGGGGTTGGACTGAACAGTCAGTAGCTAGGAGTGCTTGCTGTTCTTGCAGAGGACCTAAGTTTGGTGCCCAACCCGTAACCACCTGCAACTCCAGCTCCCATGGATCCAATGCTCTCTCTGGTTTCTAAGGGTATCTGAAGACACATGAATGTGCTGCACATGCGCGCGCGCACACACACACACACACACACACACACACACACACACACACACACACACGGTAAAATAAAAAGCAAACAAGCAGATGCCTTTGAATGGGACCCCATCTGGCCCCAGTGGAGACTGCCCTGCTGGGTACACGATTTAACCTGGTCTCAGTACTCTCGCCTATCACTTCCCCCCCAGCCAAGGAAGAGCAGTCCCTCACTAGTTAAAGCCCCCAAGTGTGTAAGAAGCCAGTGAGTGGCATTTACCACCTGTATGTCTATGAAGTCCTTCCTGCAAGTCCCAACACAGTGGACATCTTTTTACAACGTATGCTTTATTTGTCTATGTGAAGCCTTTATTCCCACTGACAATCACGTTTTATTTATGTTTTGCTTATGCTTTGTACAGGAGGCAGATGGGCACGGAAGCAGAAGAGGAAAATGTATTTCAGTATTCGTGTGTTTGTACTTTTAGAAGAAGTGAATCCCTTAAATACGCCACTTCTCCCCTGAAACTGCCAGAGACCAGCTACACACGTCCCATTTCCTGACGCCATCCCCAGTGTAGGTAACACACGACACAGAGAAGTACTGAGTAAAAGCACTACCCGAGAGGGGCCAAGGGGCCATTCTTTCTACAAGTCTCTCATCAGACACTGGCTGAGTACCTGTGATGTGTGGGGGAGCCTGTATTTTGGGGTGAGTGAGACAGACAGCACACACAGTGCCAGTTGTCAGCAGGGTAAGTGCTAAGGGAGGTGCAGCAGCGTCCGGAGGATGGGGCTGACAAAGGAAACCTACTTGACTCGGGGAAACCAGAAAGCCAAACATAAAGTTATCTGGGGAGGGGGCCACGGGCAGAACACAGCGGGAGCCAGGGCCCTGGAAACTGGTGTAAACTGGAAACACAGTGTGTCCCCCACCCCCATGGCTATAGCTGACAGAGGCAGGGAGTAGAAGAAGCATGGAGGTGGGCAGCCTTAGATGGTTTTTGGGGTATGGCTGGGACTCCATATTTTATTCCAAGTGGCCTGGGAAGCTACTGGAAGATACGCAGTAGTCATTCTCTTTGCTTAAAACAACCACTCTGTGCTGGGTCCTCAGAGAACTGGTCACGGAATCGAGAGCATAGTCTAGTGCAATAATGCTAGTCACTGCTTACGGTGTCTTGGGCTGGTGGCCAGTACCAGCAGAAAAAAAGGGAGGCTTCTGAAGGGAAATCCTAGGACTTGAGGACTTGTTGATGGTGCCTAGAAGAACAGTTGGTGAGTGTAGAGGTGGCCCATGGCTTATACTAGAAACAGAGCTTGTTGCAAAACAAACCCCCAAACACCTTAAGCGATAGCATGGCCCAGAAACACGGAGGGGCACAAAGCCATGGCTGAGCAATATTATTCTCAAGCTTCATTTGACAGCTCGGATTTCCCCTCTGCTACAGCCATTGAAGACAAAGCAGTGTTAATCAGGAGGAAACAACTGGCTGCTATCAGGGAAAGGAATGATTCCGAGAAGGGACATGAGTGAAGGGGGGAGGGTGGCAAGAGAGCTGTGTATCAACTCGGCAGAGGATAGACGCTCAGCACTCTTCAGCAGGTGTGAGAGCTGGCACTGTGGTCATGGGGGGGGGGGGAGAACTAGCCCTGTCCCTCACCAGCTGCAGCATACTAGGGCTAACCCTGTTGTCTGGGACCCTCCAAATCCTAAAAGCTTGCCACCTGCACACACGGGACAAGTGCAGCCTCATGCTGCTTCCACGGGGTGGACTGTGTCCTGAGCCAGAAGCAGAAAAGTCACACAAGCAGGCATTGAAATGAAATGGATGCTGCTCCTTAGATATGCTATGGTAGAGGGCTTCAAATAAGTGAGTCATCTGGTGCGGGTGAATGAGGACAGGAGAAAGGTAGGTAGATGTGTGCGTGCGTGCGTGTGCCTGCCCAGCACTGCAGGAAAAGGAGACTCTGACCAGAACCCTGACCACTTCCAGGACAGATGACAGACACATCTTCACGTCCTCCTGTGATTATAATCCTGCTTCCCAAGTAGCCTGCTGGTGGGCAAATCCACCTCAGACCCAATAAATGCACACAGGGGTAGCATCCCAGTTTTGTGCTGGGAAGCTCAGCTTTTCTTCAGTGCACTATACGCAGCAGCTATTTGAGCCAGAAGGCTAACGCCCAGATAGATGCTATGACTCCACTACCATCAGGACCAGTGGTCATAAAGCCAGCATATGGCTGCCTGCCGGCTCCCTCCATCTCACGGGAGGCACTCAGCCTCCTGTGCTGGCAGGGAGATGCAACGCCCCTTACTGTAATTCCTGCACTGTTATCGCTCCTCTTAAACTATTCTCCACGCCCTATTGAAGGTGGTTTAAAGTCCCCACTGACGAGTGCACTATTGTCACAGTGGCCTTTCTTTCACTCAAGCCTCCCCTACAGCCCAGGAGTCAAGTATTGCCATTCCCACTGGATAAAGACAAAGGCTCCAAGGACTTGAGTCACTCGTGCAAGGTGTCCCCTGAGCAAACAAGGGGCACATCCTACGCTGCAGAAGATGGCCAGGTGCCTTTCTTTGCTTTTTGCCTTGGGATGTGCTGGCAGATCCTGTGACTGGTGCCACCCCTTCAGGGCTCTAAGGACTGCACTCAGCCATCTTCCACAGGTCATGTCACTCTCCCCCGAGAGTTCTTCATTCTGCTCTGATTGTCAGCTGTAGTTTGGGGCTATTTTGAGCCTTCATTTTTTTTTCACAAGAGTGCATATAGCACCATGGTAACTGAATAATGTTTTCTTTTATTCTCATTCTATTTTAAATTCAGTATTTAAAGAACACAGCTGAATTAGAATCAGACAGATCACTGGATCCCATAACTGCTGATGTAGCTCCCACCTCCCCGTGTTAAGGAATATTTACCTTCTCACCTGGGCCGCCGCTGGAGACACACTCTGGGGCCTCTGTCTACCCACTTTCCTCTGGGTTCCAGGGAACGTAATTGTTTTGGTTTTTGTGTTGTCTTTTTCCAGATAAGGTCTCTATAACTCTGGGTGAAGCCAAGGTTGGCCTTGAACACTCAACCCTGCTGCCTGAGGCCTTTGGACAGCAGGATGGCAGGCAGGCATGACCACACCCAGCCTACACTGCATTATGACAAGCACGACATTCATCCATTTCTAGAAAGCTGGGCGGGGTGGTTGTTAGCCTGTGACCCTTTTACCGGGAGGCTGAGGAAAGAGGAGTGTGTGTCTGAGGCCGGACTGGATATGCAGTGAGACCCTATCTCAAAGAAAAAGAAAGACAGAGGGTGGTGGGGGCTGGGGCAGAAACAGCAAAGAAAAACCAAGTTCACTCCACCTCCTCTCCCAGTCCCCATAGTGGAAATCCATTGACAAAACAACCAGAAGGGGAAGAATATTTAGCAACTCACACTCCCTTTTTAGCCTCAGTTTTCTAGGAGTTGGCAGAGAAATATATCACAGCAATGATGGCTAGTCTCCTGAAAGGGCGGGTTTCATCTTTCTAAAGGTACACATTCTATTTTAGCGGGAGGGGTGGTCCACGGCAGCAAACACACGGGAAATTCATTCTCCAACGCCTGCCGCACAGTCACACTTCACAGACCAGACCCTGCTCTAGGACCACAGAAGATGCAAATGACAGCGTCACCTCCACTTTCCCTGAGCTCTACAGCCTGTAGGAACCAAACAGCTGCACTTCAAACGTGAATCACTTAGCTCCTGAACCTTCCATGCTAACTTGTGTGGAAGGGTCTAATGGACCTCAGGCCACATGAGGACATGTCATTCATTAGATAGGGACTCTTGTCTAGCCCTACAGATCCCCACCTCACTGCAGGATATGAGCCATCTGCAATAGCACCAGGTACACAGTAAGCATCAAAAAGAGAGAGACAAGCCTTGTTGCTCTGAATAAACACACACACACACACACACACACACACACACACACACGTGTTCCTCCTAACTAAAATTCTACACCATCCCACTGACATGGCAACACCCACTCTGAGGGGCAGTCAGGCTCAGAATGTGGTGACAACTGTTGGGCACACTTTTTCTCTAAGTCACACTTTGGGCAGAGGCTTGTGCCCTGGCACTTCCTTTTGCTAATGATCTGAAGGATGGTGAACACTGCTACTGCTGCATTATTCTCACGCAGGTGCTCAGAACTGCCGAGGCCTGTGTGCCGTGGGTGGTAGCTCAGCTTTCACCCAGAGAAAACGGATCCTGGCTTTGTGTTGCCAAGTAGAAAATTATCTCAGTCCTTTGAAGCCAGTGAAAGGGGGAAGATGAATATTTCAAAAGCACACTTAAAAGCAGACACAAGCAATTCTCTCAACAAACACAAAGGGTGCACATCACCTGCTCGGCAAAAAACTGGAAGCCCTTGTCTTGTCGGATGCACTCATACGTCTCTCCAAGGACCGGGTTAAACGGCTTGCTGCCTGCTCTGGAGTAGCTGGATGCATACGCAGAGATGGCGAAGGCTGCCACGTACACCTGTGAGTGGAGGGAAAGGACTAGCTTACTTCTGTGTCACCAAGACATCTGTCGCGAAGAAATAAAACCTATGTTTATTTCAGAAAGACAAGGACCTGTCTTTGGTTTAAAGACAACTCAACTAACTTAGGTTTACAAAATAATGTTCATTTGGGCCCAGAGACAAATCAACCTATTTAAACTGCCCGTTTCTTTTTGTGTCTGAAATATGGAAGGCATGATTTGATTGAGGTGATAAAATCATCCAACAAAGTGTCCATGCTAACTCCTCTGCTTGTGGCCAGGCAGTGCCAGCAATCCCAACATCGGGGCCTCAGGGAAGATGGTAGAGGAGTACAGAGGAGTAAAACAGTCCCCCGAATCCAGAAATATGCACGGTACCTTTAACTAGCCACCGACTGATACTGTAGAAACCTGAAAACTTAAACTCACATCGACCAAAGGAAATATGAGTGAGCCGCTGCTATGCTCTGAGAAGCAGCAGGCTTGAGGCACCGGGAAGTTCTGCCTTTCTGAGAGGGGAACCGAGAGGTGGAAAGTGGGGAGAGGGGTGAGAGGAGGAAGAGGAAGGAGAGAAAAGCAGGGCGTGAGAGGAAGGAGGAGGGAGAAAAGAGGAGTGCGAAGGGAGGAGAGAGAAAGAGGAGGATGGGGAGGAGGGGGGAAGAGAGGAGGAGAAGGGAGCAAGAAGAAGCTATATGCATACATGGGATTACAAAATCCTTTTCTGAACCTCACCGTGCAGATTCCAGCAAGTTGTTCAGCTCTATTTTGTTTTAAGGTTTACTTATTTACTTTATATACAGTGTTCTTCATGCATGTATGCCTGCATGTCAGAAGAGGGCATCAGATCTCATTTCAGATGGTTGCAAGTGATCATGTAGGTGCTGGGAATTGAACTCAGGTCCTCCAGAAAAGCAGTCACTGCTCTTAACCCCTGAGCCATCTCTCCAGCCCTGTTCATCTCCTGTTTAGGAGCATCAACAGAAACAGATTCTCTTGTCTGTATTTGGTTTTCCCTCTTCAATGTTAAATGAAAGTGGTAACATGGAGATTTCTTTTTTTTTTTTTTTTTTTTTGGCTTTTCGAGACAGGGGTTCTCTGTGGCTTTGGAGGCTGTCCTGAACTAGCTCTTGCAGACCAGGCTGGTCTCGAACTCACAGAGATCCACCTACTTCTGCCTCCCCAGTGCTGGGATTAAAGGTGTGTGCCACCATGCCCGGCTGGGAGATTTCTTTTTAATACCAGATAGTAAGTCTCAATATTCTTCTCTGAACACCCTATGAGGTTTGTCACATTTAACTCAGTGTCATCTGTAACTGTGTATGTGTGTGTGCATGTGTGTGTGGGTGTGTGTGCATGTGTGTGTGGGTGTGCATGTGTGTCTGTGATGTGCACATGTGTGAGCATGCGTGTGGAAATCAGAGGTCAACATCCAGTATCTTCTTCAGTTGCTCCCCACCATATTTTTCTGAGTCAGGGTCTCTCACTCCATGTGGAGCTCACTACTTTGGCGATATCATCTGGCCGGCAAACTCTAGGAATCCACCTGGCCCACTACCCTCCAGTGCTAAGGGTTTCCCACTCCACCAGCTTTTACGAGGGTGCTGGGGATTAAACTCAGGTCCTCATCCTTGCACAGCCATCTCCAGTCCGTGCCACATTCCTGAAACCCGGGACACACGTCTCTCTCTGGCTCCTCAGTCCTTGACACACTGAACTGGAAGCTCTCTGTGGAATCCCCAGTGTTGGGATTATAGCTGTGTACCACTGTGCTGTCCCTAAATATCAGTTCAAGGTCAAGTGCAGGGATCAATTACTGAATATCTTAAGGGTTCTAAACTGCCACAGGAGTGAAGCAACTTAAGAATATTTCCTTCCTTTCTTTTCTTTTTTAAACTTTGACTATTTTGTGTGTGGGTGTTGTGTGTGTACAGGTATGCACCACTCACTTTCAGTGCCCAGGAGGCCAGACGATGATGTTGGATTCCCCTGGAACTGGAGTTATGGATGACTGCAAGTCACCATATGGGTGCTGGGAATCTGCCAGGTGGTGGCACATGCTTTTAATCCCAGCACTTAGGAGGCAGAGGCAGGAGGATCCCTGTGAGTTCAAGGCTAGCCTGATCTACAGAGTGAGTTCCAGGACAGCAGGATAGGCTCCAAAGCTACACAGAGAAACCCTATCTCAAAAAACCAAAAATAAAATATTCTCATGTTCAAAGTGAATCATTTTCTTTGAGGCAAAGCACCACAAATGCTGGCTTTTACCACTAGATTTAGAAGCTTCCCGATGCCCTGTCTCCGGCAGACACTGTCTGGGGAAATTCAACACAAAGGGCAAAATTACAACTTGTGTTTTTTTGGCATTTATGATCATTAGCATCAAGAGAGGAGAATCTCTGATACGAAGGTCCCAGGGGTCGGGCAGAATGACAACTGGACGCCTCTTTCAGCCAGGAGCTGAGGTTCCCGTGGCTCCCAAATCATAGCAGCCAAGAAGCTTCACTGAGCCTGAGGACAGCAGGCTGTGTGGAGGGGGGGCGTGCTTTCTGCTAGTTCTGTGAAGCCCCAGGGCACACTCCTCTCCAATTTAGCGAATAACAAGCAAGCTCTGCACTGAAGCGCAGCTCCCCGCCCAGGCAAGGGGTCCACTGATCACCAGCTCACATCCCGGGAGCCAGAAGAACAGTTTCCACAACCAACTCTTTCAAGAGTTTTACAACAAAGTTGTTTAAATAATCTATAAGAGAGAGAAAAAGGTGGGTGGTGGGGTGTGTGTGTGTGTGTCATTTTCTGGTGTAATGGTGTAAAAATCACCCTCTGTGGATGATATTTTCCAAAAGCGTAGGAATGAATGGGACAATTCCAGAAATAAACAAAAACATTCTCAAGGGAAATTTACTCAGGATGAGAGAAACAGCTCAAGAAATTAAATTCTGTCCACCCAGGGTAGTAAAAATAAACACAGACAGCCTAAAGCCATGTTTTCCAGCCAAGCCTATGAGAACCATCAGATGGAAGCTTCCAGAGAAAGAGCAAGCACAAAAAACAAGTCGAACAACCAGCCCCCGGCACCAGCGGCAGGAGGCCGCTTTGCTTCCCCACTGCAGATTCGGATGAGGTAACTGCACGCAGCCAGGAAGGGAGGACTGAGTAACTTTCCAAGAAATGATCATCTCCAAGGAGCTATCAAAATGAGGACTGGGCTTTAAGCCCCTGGGCTCCTGGCTTGTAAAAGTGCGGGGAGTGGGTCCTCACCATCCTCTCTAGGGCGCTGGGGATGCGCGCAGCCTTGTCCAGAAGCTCGCTGTACTCCAGTTCCTCGCAGAGCCGCTGCAGTGTGTTCAGGGGCTCATTCAGCTCCACCGGCATGGCCACCTTGGACAGGTCCTTCCCAATGTTGTTGCGCAGGATGGTCCACAAGCTGACACTGCTGGTGTTGGGACCCTTTGCTGGCAAGCAGGTCCGCCTTTTGGACCTGGCTTCCCCGCCACGTTCCAGAATAGGCCCTGAAAGGAAAGAAATCTGTTGACTCCAGGAAGCTTCTGCTTGCATTCCACCATTTAGAGTAATCCACGAATATAACCTTCCCTAGCAAGCATTCACGATCAAATCGGTTACACAGTGTAGGATGGAAAGCTAGAAACTAGCAAAAGAGTTCTGAGCTATTAAATACCAAAACTCAGGGCTAGGGTGTAGCTCAGTCCGGGAGCACCATTCCCCGGCACGGCACTGCTAAATAAATAAATGTCCCAAACTGCATGCACTCCATTCCTGGGGAGATGTATTAAGTCTCACTCAAAAGCTAGTTCCTCACCGCTTTCATATTCAGAAGAACAGAAATCGGTTTCCATGCCAGTAGCAAGTTAGACTGGTATAAATTTGAAAACGTAAACACATCAAGTTCTGAAAATCCACTATGCCTGTTTGATGTTTTGTTTGCGATATGGTCTCATTCTGTAGCCCAGGCTAGTCTGTTTGATGTTTTGTTTGCGATATGGTCTCATTCTGTAGCCCAGGCTAGTCTCAAGCACACCATCATCTGCCTTCACATTTCTAGTACTGGGATTATAGCTGTGCACCACCCACTGGCTAAACTGTATTTATTCTACAAAAAAAGAAAAAAATAGTTTCCATCGATTATTTTACCAACTCAGTGTCCATTTACATTTGGGACCATCTGTAAATTAGTGTGTTCTCTACCTGTTTTATTCATAGTGTACGGGCATTTTCATGTTCTGCTTGTTCAGCTGTCTGAAATACATTTTTGTTATTTAGATTCTTCAATAATACATTTTTTAGTGATTGTAAAAATATTTCATGTATTGAATCACTCATTCCTGTTGGGCCATTGAGTTTTTCTAGATGTTCAGCTACAATTCAAAAAAACTCACAGAAAACCCAACAGCGACCAATAGCACAGAACATCAAACATTTGAAGTATTTGCCTGACCCTCTGATCATTTTATCAGCACATACGGATGAGGACTGCCATGAAAGGCTGTAGGTGCTTCCAGTCAGATGCTCTGAATGTTATTAAAAGACAGCTGAGTAGATGTGGGGTCTCCCACCGCCACTACTACACGGATTCCCCAGCCGAGAGATCCAATTCCTGGGACCTGGCTGGATCAGGAGCTCTCTGACCTGATTAACGGGTTGATCGCTGACTTGTGCTTTGATCTCTGACCTGATCAACACTTTTCACTCTGTTGGTCACCTCTGCCTCTGACATATGTTATTCTTCTTCCTCTTTAAGGTTAGGAAAGAGCATTATCATCTCCATTTTATAGATGAAGAAAGTGAGGCAGAGAGGAGGGACCAGCACACATAACCAGCAAGGAATAGAGTTGGGGCTGGTGCCCAAGGGCTCCCTTCAGTCCCTACTCCCAGCTACTTAACTTCTGTGGCATTCCGCACAGCAACAGGTCCTGCCACGTGACCTGTGCTTCTAGGGGGAAGAGAAACTGATAAGAAGTTCCCTAAATGCCAAGCATCAGCTGTGCACTGGGGGAGTCTAGTGGGTTTAGCTGTTTTCATTTTCTTTCTTGACACAGAGGCTCACATACCCAACAGGCTGGATTTGACCTCTAGATGTAGCCAAGGATCCTCTTGAATTTCTGATCCTCCTGCCTCTACTTCCCTAACCGTCATGTCTCATTTTATGTGGTGCTGGGTGTAGAATCCAGCATGTCACCCATGCTAAGGAAGCACTCTTCCAGGTGAGCTGCACCCACAGACAGAGTGGGTTTACTTCCTTCCTCAGTGGGCAGACTTCGGTTACTTCTGCAGGTGTCTTTAAGATGTCCAGAAACCCTGTCACCATCAGAGAGTATCTACAGAGAACTGGGGGACATCGGTTTCTGGTACTCAAGTTCAGATGAAGGAAGTTCCACAAGTACATGCTGTGTTTGAGCTAAACAGCCACAGATAAAGCTAGAGATGCAGCCTGACCCCCTCCTTGCCCATCTCAGTCACGGACAAACCTAGAGATGCAGCCTGACCCCCTCCATGCCCATCTCAGTCACGGACAAACCTAGAGATGCAGCCTGACCCCCTCCATGCTCATCTCAGTCACGGACAAACCTAGAGATGCAGCCTGACCCCCTCCATGCTCATCTCAGCTGTTGATGCAGGGTTAGGGCTTGTCTACATCCTGATCCAAATCCTTTCTTCCAACTTTACCTCTGTCTCCTGTTTACTCTGGTCTTCCCTGACTCCCTCCCTACGGCCTCTGGGCCATGGGGGAGGGGCCTCAGCATTTGCCATCTTCCTCCTCTGTGGCTGGAGCACCATTTTGGTGCTCATACCATTCACTGCTCACTGAGTGACGCTTCTTCATTTCCCTTTCCATCCTGTGTTTTCCTAGAAAACAACCTGCATTCATATCTGTGAACTTCTACTTCTAACTCACTGGGTTTTAGAGTTTCCTATCAAGGGGCGACTTTCTAATAAGTGAAGTATCTTCGTGCCAGCAGGCGACTCAGAAAGGAGGCTTTGTAGATGGTGGGAAGTTACCCGCCACCCCTGGAATCCTCAGAGCAGTGGCTCTGAAGTGTTTAGACCATTCACCAATGTAGTTCACAAACACTCGCTGAGCTGAGGCACTGAAATAAAGGGCTCTGGCACAGTTCCTGTCCTCTCTGTAGACATAAAAATGGATGGTGGATGGGACTTTGAGTACTCAACGGGGGCAAACAAGACACCAAGACGAGAGCGTCTGACACTAAGGGACCTGTGCAGAGAACCATGGACATGGCTGGACTCACTCTATGATCATCTTCCTAACCTAACCATTCTCTTCCAGAAGCTATAAGCTGCTTGGGATTAGTGAGGCATCCAGGGGCCCCACAGTTCAGACTCACATTATCAAATACCTTTCTTTAAAAACCACATTATTTATTTGACATTCATGTGCCACAGTGTGAGGGTGGTGTGTGTGTGTGTGTGTGTGTGTGTGTGTGTGTGTGTGTGTCCAGAAGACAACTTATGGGCGTCAGTCCTATCCTATTTTGTGGGTCCCAGGGATGGAACTCAGATTGCTAAATTTGGTAGTGAGTGCCGTTACCCACTGAGCTATCTTACCAGTCCCAGAAATACCTTTCTGGGTCATCACTTTCCTCCTTAGGATTAAGCAATGATGAAGGGGTAGCTTAGGATACCCTGAGAGGAGTAGGAGTACATTCTCCTGAATACCTGAAGTTAACTATCACTTAGACTTTTTAGTTACACATTCTCTATCAAGTTCTTGAACTACAACAACACTTCGGTATCTGAAGACAGAATACCATATCCTATATTGCACTTGTAGAGAAAATGCTTGACTACACAGGGGACACCCTTGTTTAAAAAAATCAGGCATGGTGGTGCATATTTGTAATCTTAGTACTTGGAAGGCAGAGACAGGAGGATCCATGGGCTCTCAGGCAGCAAGCCTAGCCTAACTGGAAAACCTCCAGTGCCAGTGAGAGACCCTGTATCAAAAACTAAGGTGAGCAACACCAGAAGAATGACACCTAAGGTTGACCTCTGACCTACACACACACATACACACACACACACACACACACACACACACACACACAGTTGTAGGCTTTCCAGAGATCCTGCAATGTAACACTTACCTAAGGTCTGTCTTTCATTGTCTAAATCATTACTGAGGTTGTCTAAGGACAGATTATCACTTATGTCACTGACATATGAATCGTCATCAGAAATCTGTGGGAAAGAAGAGACAATACACATGAGAGACAGCAAGCGAAAAAGGCAGCCTTTCAGAAAATTCGACTCCAAATGCCTAGGCATGCTGTCTCTCACATTATGAAGCTGCAGAAATAATTTGGGGTGCTGTTTTCACAGGACACCTTCCCCTACTCCACAGTCTACCTAGGTCATGCTCACAGCAAAAGACAAGCAAGCTGCCAAGGCTGGAAGTGCAGGCAGAGCTTGCCTGGGATGTGAGGGACCCAAGTTTGACCCACGGCAAAGGAAAAAGGGGACAGAAGGAGCGAGAGAGGACGCTGTTAGATATTCTTGGTTCTCACAAGAAAAATAAGCAAACAAAAAACCCTCCAAGATTACTGCTGTCATCAAAAAAATTCGTATCTCGTAGCATTTCCAGAACAGGCTAACACTTAAATAATGGAGTTAGTAACCTGTTTTTGAACCCTTTATGAAAAAAAAAAAACGCTTGCATGGGAATTAGTACATAAACAAAACTGTGTTTTATATAGTATATAAAATATATATTATCAGCTGGGTGTTGGTGGTGCACGCCTTTAATCCCAGCACTTGGGAGGCAGAGGCAGGTGGATTTCTGTGAGTTCGAGGCCAGCCTGGTCTACACAGTTAGTTCCAGGACAGCCTCCAAAACAATACAGAGAAACCCTGTCTCGAAAAAACAACAACAACAAAATATATATATATTATCTTTATATTTAATGGATAAAAATCATACATAGTAATGCTTAACTGTGGGTTTTGCCTATTCCAGAAAGTATGATTTTTTATGCATCAAGTAAAACCAATGTTTATAAGTATAAATTAATATAATAGACATATCAGATAATAATGATATAAAATGTGTAATACAAATTAACATGATTAAAAATGCACAGGCTATAAAGCAGTTATGTGAACAGGCAGAATTTACAACTAGTAATGGGAAGCTGCAAAAAGTCTAAGTAGCAAAAACAGGAGTCCAACACCCTGAATTTCACATTTCCCTAGTGCATGGTATCACTTTGTGTTGGGGGGCGGTGCACTACAAGCAGACCCTCACAACGTAATGGTGTGGAGGAGCCACGGAATCTAGCGATTCTGTTGACAGATCTTTACTGAGTAGTTTGGTGAAGAAAGATATAAAGGAGATTTGGGGGAAACTGACTGAAAACGGTGTCCAAACCTCGTTTTCTGAAGAGCTAGGAGACAGCAGAACTTCCTGGGCATCAAAAAACTCGGAAAGGGAGTCGGTGATGGACAGCCTGCTCTCGTTGGAGAGCTGGTGCACCAGGGCTCGGCTTTCGTCCCCGGAATTTTCCTAGTGAAAGAGCAGAAGGAAAATTGCATGTACTTAAAAGTCTCAAGAGACACAAATTACACAAGTGATTTGATTGCACAAACACTGGGTCACAGGCCCATGCAAACAAGCAACAGAAAGCGGAGGTCAGCTTCAAGGGAAGCGAGCCTCTCGGAAAACAAAGAGAAACTGAGTTCTCCCGCAAACGACGCTTCCCTTACAGGCATGAACACTGTTCAGACACGCAACACAAATCTCAAGCACAACCCAGCTTTGTTCCTTTGAGGAGGAGGGAGGTTCCACTCAGGGTGCTTCTTCCCAGTCAATGCACGGCTGATTTCAAGCAGGGTGTCCCAGTGCCCATTCTGAGGCCCGCATGCTGCTTCCAGGGAATCCCTTAACAAATACACTCTGTGTTTTGGTCCAGAGGTGCCCATGATGGCAGATCACTCCGTATTCATGGATGAGTGGGATTAATTTCCTTGTGTCTCTTCACCCACAATGACTCTTACAGGGAAGGAAACCTCAGGCCCTAGTTATGACTCTAGCAGAACGACACTCTGTTTTTTCTCAGATTCCTCCATTCTCCAGACTCATGGAGAAGTAAGTATCCGGAAGGGTCCTGGATACTCGGGATGTGCTTTCTCTTCTATCTGCAAGTAAAACTGCCACCCCACTCATATTTGTATGTAGTCTCCAGCCATTCTTTATGAACATGGAGACTGGACAATCCTTCTGACCTATGGGCGTGTACACATTAGACCAGAGCCACCAACAGACACTGGGCTACAGAAGTGGAGGCGAGGGTGACCTTAACTCTGACTCCTGTCACCTAGACTCTGATTGGAACAGATTTAGGACACGATAATTCCTTGGACTCCTGAGTCTCTAGTCAGCTCAGGTACTTCTCTGGCCTGCTGGGTGGCTCTAACATTGTTATGCATCTGACAAGCGAGTCACAGGCTAGATGGAAAAGAAGTTCAGACAGATGCCATCATGCCCAAAGGCCCATGAGCTCGGGACACCCCGCTCATCTCACCCACATATGCTGTCCCCAAGGAGATTCACTGGGACCGGAGGCCTCAGCAGTTTCCTAATTAATAAGCAGCAGTGAGTCCTTTGAACTTTAGGAACAGAGGGAATTCTACATCTCTTCTCTTGGAGTGTGTGTACGTCAGCCCACGGTATGTGTTTAAATACTTTCTACAGCCTCTAAAAGCCAACTTTCTCTATCCCCTATAAAGATCTTCAGTATGGCAGCTGCTTTCTTTCTGTCTAGAATAATTTTTTTTGAAACTAAAATATAATTACATCATTTCCCCCCTTTTCTCCCACTAACCCTCCCATGTATTTCCCTTGCTCTCTCTCAAATTTATGGTTTCTTTTTTTACTATTGTCATACACACACACACACACACACACACACACACTCATCATGAATGCACTCACATTCCTACAAATATTAGTACTGTGTAACGTTATTTGTGTGCATATTCTCAGGACTATCTGATGCTGGATAACCAGTTGGGAGACTCTTTCCTGGGAAAGCCTACTATCTGCCCCCTACACCTCTTAGTAGCCAAGTTCTTTATCTAGGGTTGAGGCCCCCATGAGATTCCCTCTGCCAATCTCATCACATCATTAGGTGTCATATTTGCTCAGGTATTGTTTAGGCAGTTATGTCGATGAGACGTAGTCATTAATAGCAGGCGGTTGCTTTCTTAAAGAAATAAATGTCTCTCTCCTCCACAGACCCAGGCACAAGGCTGCTGAGCCAAAGATACTGCAGTCCCCAGAAGGACTCCTTAAATGTTCATGCAGGCAACAGAATCTCCCCTGTGCCCTGATGTTCAGAGATGCTAATGATTTATTTACTTGTGCTACTCATTAATTCACTACCACACATACCTGTTCTAGCTTCCTCCTCCCCCTCTGATTGGTCAAAAGGGTTTCCTGACTTATCAACACTGAAAACGACACCTGTTGAAAATCATTAGCTAAAATGTTCAGGTGCAGCCGTGCTTTGGATTTCATTTTTAAAATGGATTTTTAAAAATATAATGAGGTATCTCAGGGAATGGGCCAAAATGTCAGCATAAAGTTACTTACATTCCCTATGGACTTACACATGTAGTCTGAGGGTAGTTTTAGAATATTTTGGGGGAGCTGATTTTAGATTGTCACCTGCCACACGAGGTCAAGTATGAATTTTCCATGTGTGGTGTTATGTTGTTCAAAACGTTTGGGTTTGAAACATTTCAGATTTGGGATTCTAGCCTCTACCTATTCTTGGTGTCCCACAAGTTTAGCAAACACTTATGGAGTCATACTGAAAACACCAGGACACAGTTGCACACACCCTCCAGCACAGCTTTCTAAAGAACACAGGGTCTTATTTGCTAAACTAGGAATATAGTTGAGCACAGTTAACTTCCCTCACTGTACCTCAGGAGTGGCTGTCTACTTGTTGTTTATATTCCAAAAAAATTAAAGACCAAATAAGAAGGGTGGGTAACATCCAAAATCCCATCATGCTAAAACAACTGCTTCAAGCCTTTGGACATTTCCTCTCCTATCTTTTTTATTCATGTACTTTTGTTTTGTAATAACCATAACCATACTAATTATAAACATAATTCAATTTTCTCAAACAGCATTGCATCAAAATAACTTTTACCAACAGTAATATGTTCTTAGGATAAAAGTAGTATGTGGGCCGGGCATTGGTGGTGCACACCTTTAATCTCAGCACTTGGGAGGCAGAGGCAAGTTGATCTCTGTGAGTCTGAGGGCAGCCTGGTCTACAAGAACTGTTCCAGGACAGGCTCCCAAGCTACACAGAGAAACCTGTCTTAAAAAAAAAAAACAAAAAAGTAGTATGTGTTAGTATGTGTTTAAAAAGTAAAATACAGAGTAAGACCCTATCTAAAACACACACCAGTTCACACATACACACACACACAAACCTAGAAAAAAAGTCGTGTACTTTTTATTTTTGTTTGTAAGCAGGGATCAAGTTGTACATAATAATGTGTGCATTATCCATTAAATTTTCTTATTTCACATTGTGAATAGGTTCCCGGGCCAGGAAGGCGCCTCTGAGAGAATGGACTTCAACTGACAGTTATTTTATTACACTTGTGGGTGACAGAGGAGCAATTCAGTGCCTTGTGTTAGAAGGCAAGGGTATCTGCAGACTGCAAAGCCAGGGAAGCATCATTTGTATGTCTTTGCATATACCTTGTTATTTCTCGGAATCATTTCCAGAAGTAGAATTACTAGAGAGTTTAAGACTATCAACATGGGATTATTAGTGATTTCCATGTTTAAGAAAATCATTTTCACTAGCACCACAATTTAGGGAAATGCACTGTCAGATTGTTTTGATTTTCATTAGACTGAATGTTCTTTATTAAAAAAAGTGAGCTGTAGAATGTTACTATAGGATACACGGTACAAGGGGCTTCCTCTGCATGCCTGTTTTCCTGTGAATTTATAAGTACAGCCAGGTGTCAATGATATTTCTGTTCAAGTGTCACAACAGATTACAATAGAGCTGGAAAATTCCTGTCCCCTAGTGATGTCACAACAGCATAGCATGATGTGACTCCTATCTGTGGATGCTGGTGTGAGTGAGCCTATTGAGTCTAGCTGTTTGACAGTACAGTAGACATGGTTATGCCCAGAGCACAACACTGACCATGATAACACACAACCAATCTCTGTGTAACGAATTAAACTGGGCCGTGCAGTTGTTATGCTCTCTATTTAGGATTTTAGACTGCACTCTACTTACATAAGGAAAACCAGTCAACAGTAAGCCAGCCACAGGCAGTCCTCCAGGAGGTATCCAGTGGAACACACACCAGTCACAAGAGATGAGACCCTACTGCCCAGGAGCACTGGCAGTGGGTCAAAAGGCGGGTGACACTTATGCTCTTTGTTGGTTTATAGTAAGAAAATACAAAGTTGCAAGCATTTCTATGTGGGTTCTAGAATGGTGCCTTGGTGTACAGTCAGCTCTACCATCTTGGGTGTGTCCACATATTCTACAAATACTCACTCACCAGGAAGATAACCTGATGATGTCCCTCAATATGCACTAGCAGTTAAATCCCTCAAAACTGACTTGGAAAATAAATCCCACAGAAACAAACCCCATAACTCTGTATGCCTGGTGAGTGTGAATTATCTGTGCCTACTGTTTGCTGAAGTCTTAAGTTACTTGGTATTATTTGATGTTTGTTCACAGATTAAAAACACCGTCATTGCTTCTCCATTATATAAGTCTGTCATTTTTTACTGAAGATATTTTTCTTAGTATTTTTTAATGTGCCTTCTCATTTTTGAAACATTTTCTCTATTTAAGAAAACATCAAATTTTGTTAGCATTTCCTTTGAAAATTTGTACTACTCCCCAGTTTAGGAAACCCTTACTCTAGCAGTTTGATAAGTATTCAAATCAATTTTTGTCTCAACATTTATATTTAACTTAGATCTTAGCATACAAGGGAAGAAAGATTAAGCTTCTTTTCAAATTGCTTTGAGCTGTGATAACCTAATTTATTGAATGCTCTGCATTTCCCAATGGATTTTGATGCCTCTCTTATCCATGTATTTATTTCTCTTAGAAGGGGAAACATAAAGCCATGTTCATGCCGGAGACAGTCATTCCCCTGCCACATCGCCAGCCATTCCAGTAGAGGGTCTTCCAAGAGACTCTGTCTTCAGACTCAGCACAGTTTAATTCGAGACTCTATCTTCAGACTCAGCACTTTTCTTCTTTACACAGAGGTGTGAAACCGTGGTGAGAACACACACTCTGGCCTCATGAGTTGTCAATTCAAATCCCAATTTGATTTTATAAGCTATGTTTCTGGTAGAAGTTGTTTGAGTACTCTGGATTTTACTTTCTCTGATTCTAAAAGGAAACTTCCATCTCCTACTATGCAGAGTCATGGTGAAGAGTTTGTACAATAATGTCCAGTATTTGATCCCAACGCAGAAAAAGAAACAACCACAAAGATATAAGTAAAATAAAGGAATCAAGTATCTTCTCTTAGATTTTTTTTTAAGTTATAGATTTTTGTTTTGTTTTGTTTTTGGGGGTTTGTTTGTTCTATTTTTGTTTGGGGCAGGGTTTCTCTATGTAACAGGTTGGCCTTGAACCCACTCTGTAGACCAAGCTGGTCTCAAACTCACAGAGATCCACCTGTTTCTGCCTCCCAAGTGCTGGGATTAAAGGTGTGCACCACCACTACCAGGCCAGTTATAGATGTTTTAAAGGTACTTTAAATGGGATTTATTAATTCATTTGCAACAGGTCTTGCTTTATCTACACAGGCCTGGAACTCATTTTCTAACCTTGGGCTGGCTTCCAGCTGTCCTTTAGTGTGGGTCTTCTGAGTGCTGTGATTATACATGTCACTATCATGTTCATTCTTAAATGCCATGTAGATAGAGAAGGTATTACTCCCACAGACCACCTGGCCCTTGATTTCTAATCTAAAATAAATAAGATAATCTATAATAATAATATAACCTTGAAAATTGTCCTAGTGATAGTAAAAGGTCACATTTATGAATTCTTGCATAAACTGAGGGGGTTATTTCTAAGAATAGGGGATCTTAGGGTTCAGCATCCAGGCACAACACCATCAGTGACTCATCTGTGCAGCCAAAAGGTGGCAACAGAAAGCAGGTAAACAGTGGAGGGCAGAAAAGCAGGAGCCCCTGCACTGAACCTATTGTTGGGACTGTCACTCTGTTGTGTCTGAGGCTCCTGGGAGTCACCTACAAAAGGTAACTTGGGGTGCGGGTGAGATGGTTTAACTATAGAGACACCCACCACCAAGCTGCATGCCCTAGATTCAGTCTCCAGAACCCACACGGTGGAAGGAGCAATTGCTGCAAGTTGCTCTAGGACCCCACACACGCCCTGCGGCACATGTCCACACATGCATGTCCACACATGCATATACGCACTAAATAAACAAATGTTCTTAAAATTTTCAAGTAACTAAAAATTCAAAGTTAATTCACACACACACACACACACACACACACACACACATTTTAGGGTGTTTTTTCAGCCTATGTGGCCATTCTTAATCATTTCTGCTCTTATTTCCTGAAGGGCAACAATGACTTTTCTTTGCTGGGAAAGTTAGCCTTGAGTCACTCAGTGGGGAAAAAAAAGAATAAACCATGGAAAACAGAAACTCTCTGAAAGAGGAAACAAACGAGACAAACACATAACCAACCCAGGATGCTGTGGAAGGACAAGTTCAAGGCTGTGGCAGCGCCTCCTGAACAGTTCCGAGTGTTTCAGCTTTCTGGTTGCGCCTGGTTGAAATTGTTCCCAAAATGTGCATTTTTTAACCTGGGCTTTGGGCTGTATCTCAAAACGCAAACAGCTTGAATGATACACACTGGACACTGGACACAGACCCATACATGCTTGGCGAAGGTTATCTATTTAATCATAAAACATTTAAGTATAATTCGTGTGATAATAATATGTATTATAAAAGGTAAGAATAGCCTGGAAATCAACGTTCGATTGGAGATGCCATGGTGCCTGGCAGCAAGCGACACTCAGTGGTGACCAGGCACGGCAAAGACCGGGTCCCATGTCCCCTAATGTGCACACTTGAAAGGACCTGGCTGGTGATAGGCTCAGACCTAAAGTGCCAAGCCCTCAGGGGAGGGTGCAGGGCTGGTCTCTTAGAGTAGTGTGTCTGCAGAAGAATTTTATCCTCATCTACCACCATGAGGGTGAGGCTCTGGCCTGGTGCAGTGGTCCTGTTAGCATGTCTGTGCTACAAATAGGGCGGGTGACCTGGGCGTCTTGGCCTCAACTTTCTTCATGCTCAGCGCACACACAGAAGGGACTGTGTGTGGGAGCTCTTAAGAAGATGAAGAAGATCGCAACAAAGCGTTTACAAGTGTTCACACAAGCCCCTTTGTTGCTGCCTTGCATGTTTGAGTGTGTGGGTGCATGTTGTGTGAGCAGACACGTGTTTACTTATGGGGGGAGACAACTGTGGGTGTCATTTCTTGTGGCTCGGGTTCTGTCCACCTTATTCCTCTTTTATGCGTTATACATGGAGGCAGAGGAACACTTTGAGAAACTGGTTCTCTCCTTCTGGGGCCCAGGGGTCCAACTCGGGCTTCTGGTCTCTGAGGAAAAGGCCTTTACCGACCGAGCCATTTCACTGGCCCTGTGCCCACCTTTGCTGGAGAGAAGTGACAGTGTCTCCCTGGCCTGAAACTCACCATGTAGGCTAGGCTGGCTGGCCAGAGAGCCTGAGTCACCAAGCTATCTCTACCTCCCTGTCCTAGGATCGCAAGAACGTGCCATCACACCTGTACTTTGTTATGTGGGTTCTTAGCGGGGTCTTCAACACTTTATTGACAGCATTATCTCCGCAGCCTGCTTCCTTGGTTTCATTTAAATCCAACCAGTTCGTTAATGGGAAATTTTACACATCTAATATAGACATCTGAATACCCGAGACTCTTAAGAACAGCTGTCACCTTTACTACCCATTCTTATTTCTCAAGGATCACATGGTATTTTTCTGAAATTGCTTATTTTAAACGCATTCAAAGGACCCTTTGGGGCAAAAATCCCAAGCCTTGAAAAGACTTTGGTGTGTGTGTGTGTGTGTGTGTGCGCGTGCGCGCGCGTGTGCGCCAGGGCTGTATGGGTTGAACTAGGGTTCAAGAAGCAAACGGTCACTAGGCTGCTAAGCTGTTCTGCATCTCGGTAAAAGGCGTTTCTAATGTGTGTTAACTGACGATAGATTTTGATTGTAGTGCAGTACCTCCCCCTAGATGGTACAGCTGTGTCCTAAAAGAGGGAAAAGTAAAACAAGACGAGGGAAGAAGGGGCAGCTATGGTGGACATTACCGTGGCTTCAGTGGAGCACAAGAAGCCTGCAAGGAACTGGACACGGGGTCCCCGAAACTGAGGTTTCTTCAGAAATGACGAGGAAAAGCACTCGTCTTCCTATAGCTCGCACTCAGGCAACGCACAGTGAAAGGAACCACGCTCAGAGGGCATGAGGTGGAGAGACACGAAAGGAGGACTCGCTGAAGAGGCAGATGGAGAGTGTGTGGGGCGGCACTGTGCCAGCAAGACTGAATCCCAAGAACTCAGCCAGAGCTGAACTGTGGCAGTAACCACCAGGGGAGGCCAGGAGCATGGCGGCCACTCAAGCGGGTGAAGCAGAGAGCTGTGCAACTGGGCAGAGGGTGCTGGGGGTGGTGGCAGTTGCAGAGAATGGTTACCAGATGAGAAACCTACCCACCTCTGCCAGGTTGTCCCCCGACTTGGGAACAGCGGGAGGGTCGAGGAACAGAGTTTCCGCATGGATTCTGCGTAAGCGTTCTTTAAGATCTGTGTTTTGTGCTAGGGCCTGGAATATGTTAAAAATAGCAGGGCTTCATTAGTAAGTGGACGGGTCAGGAGCACACAGTGGGGGAGTGGGCACAAGCAAGTCTAGGAGCGAGGGTTCCCTGGGCAGGACACCCTGGCTAGGGGTGTGCCTGGGCTTTCCCCATGGCTCTCCAACAGGAGGCTGGGAGGTAACAACCAGGTCCAGGCCGCTCCTTGTTAACCTCATCTTCAGAGGTGGAAAGAGGGTTAGTACGGCTGCAGAAGGAAGCCAGAGACAACATCAGTCAGCATCTTTTCTCCCTGACATGCTGATCTGCGGACCAGCCCCTAGTCCTAGATCCTCCTGTCTTTGACAAGATGCCAGTGGACACGGCCCAGTGTGAGTTAATTATCACACCAGCTGCACTGGACCTTAGAAGTACGCCGGTGACTTACTAATTTTTGAGAATAAGACAGTTTACTTTTCCAAAAAAATAAACAAGCAACCTAACCCATACACCATGGTGCTGGGTATGAGCCATGGACGTAAAAGAAACCACCTAAGACCTCTATTTCCTCCTGGGCTGTCCCACCTCCCATCTCCACCTCTCTGCCAGGCCTGGATCACAGGGAAAGGAAAATGTGTCCTGCCTTTGCGTGGCACTACTGTTCATTATGCTAAAGGTCTGTCTGTAGGAGGGGTCTTGTCTACTGCCTGGTTCTCTACAAGGGCTTTGCTTATTTATTTTCTTATCATCTCTATTGAATGTACAGGACATGATCTCACTCTGTAGCCCAGGCTGGGCTGTTAACACTTGTCCAGCCTCCCAGGAGCTGGAATTACAAGGTCACCATGTCTGGCTCTAGATTTATTTTTCAGTGGCCACAGAGGACATAGGTTATTCCAAGAATTCTTGTATCATTTAAGAAACTCTGAACCAAGAACTAGGGTTATGTAACCACATATATTAATCCCTTTGAGACAACACATCACTGTTACACTGGCTTGAATCTTAGCAAAGCCTAGAAAAAACGTGGATGTGTGTGTGTGTGTGTGTGTAAATATATATATGTATATATATATATCAAATTCAGTACCTGTATATTCATATATCCATTGTAATAGTTTTATGATTATTCGAAAAAAATATTTTGAAGACACGAGTCTTGAGTTAAACCAGAAATCTAAGCCAGAAAGGAAAGGAAGGATCACTGTGTTTTATCTTATTTCTAAACTGTTAATGTGGGTATGAGAGCATTCCTTAGAAAAAGTGATGCAAATCTGGCCTGGAAACTGTAGCCCAATGAGTATAGCCAAGCAGATTACCAAGAAGGTTGGCCCTCTGTGGGAAGACGGGAGAGGAGGACCACAGGAAGGAACTCTAGGGACCCCCACATCAGAGGGACATTCTCATCAAGAGCCACTCAGACGGGAAGAATGAGAACAAATCAAAGGAAGAGTGGAGGAAACAAAGTACCAAGCCAGGTGTGCCAGCTGCTCCCCCGGGACTAAAGATCTCTCTCTCCCACCTTAAGAAAGGGCCTCAAAAGCCAGGCATGGTGGTGCATGCCTTTAATTCCAGCACTCAGAAGGCACAAGGCAAGTGGATATCTGTGAGTTCAAGGCTAACTTGAACTACAGACTGAGTTCCATGACAGTCAGGGCCGTTACACAGAGAAACCCTGTCTCAAAAACCAATAGATAGATAGATAGATAGATAGATAGATAGATAGATAGATAGATAGATAGATAAAATTTAAAATTCGAGACTCTACATATGGAGTGAGCCAATTTTAAAAAAATTTCATTTAAAAGTAACATAATTGGGGCCGGGTGGTGGTGGCACACGCCTTTGATCCCAGCACTCAGGAGGCAGAGGCAGGTGGATCTCTGTGAGTACAAGGCCGGGCTGGACCGATAGCCTCCAAAACAATACAGAGAAACCCTGTCTCGTAAAAACCAAAAAAAGAAAGTAACATAATTGGGCGTATGACTATAATTTAAGTGCATGGGAGGCAGAAGCAGAACCCCATGGCTACACGAGGCCTACCTGGGCTGTGTGAGATGGAGGCAGGACCACGTGGCTACCCGAGGTCTAAGCTATACGAGACCCTGTCTTAAAAAAACAAAACAAACAAACAAAAGGTAGCCTCGCTGGAGCTGCCACCGAGTGGAAGCCTCTGAAGTATCTGCACAGGTACTGTGTGCTCCCAGTCAAGGGGCCATCATTTTTTTTTTTTTTTTTTTTTTCTGTCTTAAAAATTATTTTCATTTTATTTTAAAATGTTTTTTTTTTTTTTTTATTTTTTTTTTATTTTAATTTTAAATAGCTTGTTTCACATGTCAATCCCAGTTCCCTCTCCCTCCCCTCCTCCCGCACTCCCCTTCCACCCTCCCTCCCACCCTATTGCCAAATCCCTCCACATAGGGGATGTCTAGAGTCTATCATTTCACTCTTGGTAGGGTCAAGGCACTCCCCTAAGAGTCCAGGCTGAGAGAGCATCTCTCTTTGTGCCATAGGCACATGAAGACAGATTGTATACCAGGGATAGACACTGATCCACAGCTCAGAGCCCCATAGGTTGCCCAGGCCTTCTCACTGACACTCACATTTGGGGGGTCCAGATCAGTCCCATTCTGGCCTCCCCACTGTCGGTCTGGGGTCCAAGAGCACTCCCCTGTTCAGATCAGCCGTCTCTGCTGGTTTTGCCAGCCCATTCCTTGCCAATTTGCTCATCACTCCTCTCTCTCTGTCACTGGGTTCCTTGGGTTCAGTTCAGTGCTTAGTTGTGTGTTTGCCTCTGCTTCCATCAGTCCCAGGATGAAGGCTCCCGGATAGTTATAGACATCAAGTTCATTATCAGGAATGGGCATTCGAGGTGGTCCTTCCACTATTGCTTAGCTTGCCAATTGATGTTATACCTTTAGATCACTCGAGGTCACTCTGGTGCCTGATCTGTCTTCGATCCTATGATTCCCTCTTCCCCCTATTTTACCCCCACCCCCTCAACTTCCTGTTCCCCCATGACCAACTCCCTTCCTCTTTATCCCCTCTACTCTTCCCAGGTCCCACTACCCCCCTCGCCCTGTTCCCCATCCATTCAGAGGATCTTGTCTCCATCCTCTTCTCTTGGGTACTATGCATATATGCATATCTTTTAGGTTCTTTCCTGTTTCCCAGACTCTCTATCTGTGGAAGTGCAGACTGGCACTATCCTGATCCATATTTAAAATCCATATATGAGTGAGTACATACCATGTTTGTCTTTTTGCGACTGGGTTACCTCACTCAGGATGGTTTCTTCCAGTGCTATCCATTTCCCTGCGAATTTCAAGATTCCATTGTTTTTTTCTGCTGAGTAATACTCCATTGTGTAAATGTACCACATTTTCTCTATCCACTCTTCAGTTGAGGGGCATCTAGGTTGCTTCCAGGTTCTGGCTATTACAAACAATGCTGCTATGAACATAGTGGAGCAGATGCCCTTGTTGTATGAACCTGCCTCATTTGGATAAATGCCTAAGAGTGGAATTGCTGGGTCTAGTGGTAGATTAATTCCCATTTTCCTGAGGAATCTCCATACTGATTTCCAAAGAGGCTGTATGAGTCGGCATTCCCACCAGCAATGGAGGAGTGATCCTCTCTCTCCACATCCTCTCCAGCATAAATTGTCTTCGGTGTTTTTGATTCTAGCCATTCTGACAGGAGTAAGATGGTATCTCAGAGTTGTTTTGATTTGCATTTCCCTGATGGCTAAGGATGTTGAGCACTTTCTTAAGTGTCTCTTGGCCATTTTAGCCTCCTCTACTGAGAATTCTCTATTTAGCTCTGTACCCCACCTTTCAAGTGGATCCTTTGGTGTTTTGGAGACTTGTTTCTTGAGTTCTTTGTAAATTTTGGAGATTAGCCCTCTGTCAGATGTAGGGTTAGTGAATATCTTTTCCCATTCTGTGGCCTGCCTTTTTGTCTTTTTGATTGTGTCCTTTGCCTTACAAAAGCTTTTTAGTTTCAGAAGGTCCCATTTGTTAATTGTTGATCTCAGTGCCTGTGCCACTGGTGTTATGTTTAGGAAGTGGTCTCCTGTACCAACTCGTTGAAGAGTATCTCCCACTTTCTCTTCTAAAAGTTTCAGTGTGGCTGGATGTATGTTGAGATCTTTGATCCATTTGGACTTAAGTTTTGTACAAGGCGATAAACATGGATCTATCTGCAGTCTTCTGCATACCATTACCCAGTTATGCCAGCACCATTTGTTGAAGATGCTTTCTTTTTCCACTGTACAGTTTTAGCTTCTTTGTCAAAAATCAGGTGTTCATAGGTGTGTGGGTTAAAATTAGGGCTTTCGATTCGGTTCCATTGGTCTACCTGCCTATTTTTGTGCCAATACCAAGCTGTTTTCAGGACTATAGCTCTATAATAGAGCTTGAAATCAGGTATGGTGATGCCTCCTGAAGTTCCTTTATTGTATAGGGATGTTTTGGCTATCCTGGGCCTTTTGTTTTTCCATATAAAGTTGATTAATGATCTTTCCAGGTCCTTGAAGAATTGTGATGGAATTTTGATAGGGATTGCATTGAATCTATAGACTGCTTTTGGCAAGATTGCCATTTTTATTATGTTGATCCTACCAATCCAAGAGCATGGGAGATCTTTCCATTTTCTGGTATCTTCTTTGATTTCTTTCTTCAAAGACACAAAGTTTTTGATATACAGGTCTTTCACTTCCTTGGTTAACATTATCCCCAGATATTTGATGCTGTTTTTGGCTATTGTAAAAGGTGATGTTTCTCTGATTTCTTTCTCAGTCACTTCATCATCTGTATATAATAGGGCCACTGATTTTTTTGAGTTTACCTTGTATCCTGCCACTTTGCTGAAGCTGTTTATCAGCTCTAGGAGTAACCTTGCGGAGTTTTTTGGGTCACATATGTAAACTATCATATCATCTGCAAATAATGAAAGCTTGACTTCTTCTTTTCCTATTTGTATCCCCTTTATCTCCTTTTGTTGTCTTATTGCTGTAGCTAGAACTTCAAGT